ATATTTCACACATAGGGGCCTAAATTATATTTTTTAAATTTAATAGAGACGCAATAATCGTGCTATCATATACCATTCTATTACTATTGCGAATTACTGTATTGTTTGGAATGCTCACAATTAAAGACACGTTATTTGAAAGATGTATAAATAATATTTATATTACAATGTACATCTTTATTCTTTCCCGATATAATTTATGGCGTTTCTTACGTCAATTGGCAATCGCGTCATTATATAATGATAGTCAAATTGATCAAACGAAACTCCGTTTTGATTATAGTCAATTATGAAATATTCATTGATTTATGACATACACCTTTGTTTCAATTTTGATACTACCCGTAGACCTGCCGAGCAGCTGTAGATATCAAACTAAACCAAAGTATTAAAGATAGAGGGTAAAAAAATCAAAAAGTTATGTGCTAGTCAAGCTTTCAGGGATCGGTCTGAGCCATAACAATGCCCCAGCCGATCCCTTAGTTCTCTTCCGGGGTCTCGGCGTCCCCGACCAATACACACTTCCTTCCCTATCCATCCATATAACCCCGGAGGGCCAGGCACCATGTAAAAGCAAAGAGCTAAGGGAGGAACAGGGCGGCCCCTAAGCCCTGATCCTCCGAGTGGACCACATGCCCTGAACCTGTACGAAGGCGCCAACCTGGAACTCGCGGACAGTACCAGCAGCAGTGCTTACCGATTAAGCTAAGGTACTGTTGGTACTTTACGACGGGAAATTAAATCTCTTATAGTAAATGATTGAACTCATACGTTAAAAACCAAAAAGACACCAGCGGGATTCGAACCCGGGACCCCGCTAACCGTGGACGACGAATCGTAACCACTCGGCCATTTCGTTACCTTACAATTGTCCTTAAACTGAGAAAAGTTGTCTTTATAGGTGAGCAAACGCGCCAGGAAGATTACTGGGTCCATTTGCTTTACCTTAATGGGTAAAAACAAGTCGATATAATGAGCCCAGTGTGTTTGGTTTGTTAGGAAGCTGCATAACACAGCCTAATGTGCAAAACAGTCGTGTGCTAGGCGGATCATTACGCAACAATGTACACCGCAATTGTGTCAGTATTTTCAAAAGGCAGACGCGTAGATTTCTACTCTATGTATCTGGGCACATATAGATTCTCACCTCCCTCTTCAGCTATTTCGACTTTCTTAAAAAGAAAAATAGAGACTGTCAGCGAATCTCCGGGAGTTGAAATAAGGATCGTCCCCTCGATAGACCTCAGACTCAGTAAAGTTCAACATGGGCTCTTTTTCAACAGCTGTTTTTGCGGAAACTTTACATCTGGATTTTTTAGAAGCATCTGATTTTGCCCAATTTCAGTAAAATATGCTCCAAATTTTGCTAAAAAAGCAAGGCTAACCCCTTACCATTTTAGATTTTTCATACAAATCTGATTTTGCCAAATTTTACTAAATATACAAAGTACACCTCTTACAATTTAAAATTTTTCATAAACATTTCTTTTTGCCCAATTTTGCTAGCAATACAAGGTTAAGCCCTAACAATCTGCAATTTTTCAGCATCATCTGATTGTGTCCTATTTTGCTTTAAAAAAATGCAAGGTTAACCCCTTACAATTTGAATTTTTTTCATGAACATCTAATTTTTCCCAATCTTATTCAAAAAGCAAGGTTAACCCCTTACAATCTGCAATTTTCCAGAAACATTTGATTTTTTGCCATTTTCGCTTTAAAAAAATGCGAGGTTAACCCCTTTCAATTTGAAATTTTTCGTAACATCTAACTTTGCAAAATTTCACTAAAAACGCAAGGTTAATCCCTTACATCTGAAATTTTTCGGAAACATCTGATTTTGCCAAATTTCGCTAAAATATGCAAGGTTAACCCCTTACAATTTGATTTTTTTCATAAACATCTAACTTTGCCCAATTTTACATTCAGCTTATGCTAACAAATTATCAGGTAACTGGATCATTAAAGGGGACAGGTGCACATCGGCCTTGGAGCTCAGACCATGTGTCAATGCATAGATGATGCACATAACACTAGGGGTAGTACAGGCACAGCTGGGGGTACTGCCCAAACAATGATGAACGCATTGCGTATGCTTAAAGAATTACCCATAATTCCGGTTTTTACCGTTTAGGTCTGGCTCTAATCACTTTACGCGATCCCCTGACGTCTCATACACTGACTTTAGGCAAAATAGTCAGACTTTCGCGGTCTAGTAACCAGACTTTGACTCTTAACGAAACATCGAATGAAAAGGGAAACATCAAATGCATATTGCAAAAGATCGAATGCAAACATACCGATGAAACATCGAATACAAATAGCTCGAAATGTCAAACACAGTGGCGTAGCCACCGGGGGGGCGTGCGGGGCGACCCCCCCCCCCCCCCCGTGAAACCTTGTCGCCCCCCCCCCCTCCCCCACTGAGATTTTGAGTTTCTAAAAAAATTATCATTGATCTACATGACGCCATGGGCGTCAATCCTGGGGGACAGGGGGACATGTCCCCCCCCCCCCCCACCTTTTGAAGGGTGGGGGACACAATATCAAATGTCCCCCCCCCCCCATTTTTGAACTCGTGTCTCATTTACAGGGCCCTATTATGTACTACAATGAATCTTTTGCTTAGAAAATATTTGTTAAAGTGGTCAGAAATTGCCTCAGATCACCACAGAGCATTTAGAATCGAAAAGTTTTCGGGGCCCTTAAGCGGGCCCTGATCCCACGCCTATAGCTCAGAATACTGGTAGCTGATTCAATGACTCCAACCTCGAAAATAATGTTCACAAAATGTTCTTATGTCTTTAGCTGAGAAAACCTCGAAAATTATGTTTAAATTATTATCTTTTGTGCTAAGATAATTATTGGTTAAAATGGTAAGAAATTGCCTCAGATCACACCACAGAGCATCGAAAATCCAATTTTTTTCGGGGCCCTTAAGCGGGCCCCGAACCCCACGCCAATAGCTCAGAATACCGATAGCTGATTCAATGTCTCCAACCTCGAAAACGATGTTCAAATAATTATCTTTTGCCCAGAAAATATTAGTTAAAGCATGGAGGAAAGTCGTAAGAAACTGCTTCAAATCACACCACAGAACATCTAGAATCCAATTTTCGGGGCCCTTAAGCGGGCCCTGAACCCCACGCCGTAAGGGCTTAAACCCTCTCACGTGACCGGTCCCTCTCCTAATTATCTATGCATGAGCATGCGCAATACCACCAAAGAGTCCGTATTTCATAAAACCTAAATTCATGCTACACCGGTATATACTCGCGCGCGGCGGGGGTATGGTAGGCCTAACAGGTTATGTAAACTGAAATCACGCCAACGAGTCCACTGACGTCACCTTGCTCAATAAATAAACACAGTAAGAGGTCAAGTGCGGTTTCAAATTTCACCACGTAGGCCACGTATAGGCTTGAAGCAAACCTACTACACTGTCTTTTGTAGACTAATACGACGTCGGAAGTTTGAGCATCAACAAACGGGTGAGTTTCTTGGACTTCCCGATTGATTAAGTGCACCCTTTGCCCAACGAATTTTCACGGATGGGGGATACAGATTAAGTGATTGGAACGCGACGCCACGCGCCGCGGACATCGCGCCCTTTCATGTCTCAGTTTTTTTTACCGTGAAGCTATTAGGCGTACATGTAATGTGTATAGTCATATCTAGATAGTTCGTTCAGATCGCAACTAGAAACACTACACACACACACAAACACACGGATTTCAAGGCTTGATTGTTTTCCGGGGGGGGGGGGGACGACAACTGAAATTATCGTTCAAATAGACGCAGTTTACCCATAAAGTCTTGTACACGAAAATAGGGTCAGTATGATAGTACTATAGGCCAAAGGGTTGCATTCAGTTTCGTTATCGTGCTTCGTTCTTTTTTACTTAGGTTCGTTGTAATTCCATTTGGATTAAAAAGGCATACAAGAACACAGTCAATTTCATCCATCGAACAGCGCCTGATTTGGTATCCCTCGTTTTGTTTATATATAGGAATCATCAATTTTAACATTAATGTCAAGTGTTCAATTTAAAATGACTCAGTTGAGTTTACGTGTGGCAAGTCAATTATTTACTTTGAATACCTTGATCGGAATTCGCAACCCTTTTGTATTGTCCAATATAGAGAGCTTAATATTAACAATGGAACCCGTATCGGAGAGTTAATCGTTAAGACGAGGGTTTACCGTATATTCGACTGCGTGTCGGTATACAGGCCTCTTTTTATTCTCAAATAATGCATCTTATAAGATTGGCAGTCACGGACCTAGATAACCCCAGACCAATCCGTCGATTGACTTTTGCATAAAGGTTAGTGGGTGCGTTCACCAGCTTCCCCGGACACGGGGTCACACGATGTTGTGATCACTGGGCAGTGTGGGCACCATCTTTATTGTTCAAAAAATCACCCTGAGAGTGAGAGAGTGATGTGTTGTACTAAGACACCAGATCAGAAAGTAATTCTCGCAAAAATAAATCAAAAAGCAAAAATACTAACCACAGAAACGAAATTGATAGAAATCATATATATTGTACCCGTGAATTATGAATGTTTCAATTCATGAACCTGGCTTCGTCATCGACCTCTTGAAGCTCGCTTTGTCGAAGTTGCAATCTTCATGACCAACTGAGTTTGAATTTTGTCATGTGAATACATCGAATGACTGTTTTGACGATGCAATGCCATGATGATGATCCCTTTTTGTTCTCCTATACTGGATTTGACAAATGAGTGTTTTATTTTAACAGAAGAACCGGATTTCCGTTTTTCTGATTTTTTTTTTTTTTAATTTGGCGTCACCAACCCATATGCATAATTTGGAGACCAATTCTATAATTTGAATCGTTATTTTATGGAGTATTTCAATTTTTACATGTTAAATTAACTGAAAGCAGTTAGTATGGTAAAAGGAAAAAGCATGGGACACATTTTCAGACTCTCTGTTATTGTTGGTTTGAGAAAAATCTTTATTTTCTGCACAACTAATAGGTCCGAATCATGTCTTCTGCATCAATGGCTGGTCGCATCTTTCTGGTAACGGGAGCCTCGGATGGCATTGGTAAGCACACGGCTCTACGCCTGGCCCAAACTGGGGCGACGGTGCTCATGCACGGCCGGGACACTGAGAAAATCTACCAAGCCCAGCGCGAGATCGCCCAGGAGACCGGCAACAAGTGTTTGGAGGTCTACACTGCCGACTTGGCTTCCCTCCAGCAGGTCCGCGAGCTATCCGAGGCGATTCACAGCAAACACGACCACCTGGACGTCCTCATCAATAACGCCGGGATACACAAGCCAACCTGGGTGCAGTCTCATGACGGGCATGAGATGACGTTCGCTGTTAACGTCCTGGCACCGTTCCTGCTGACCTCCCTCCTGATGGATCTCCTGAGGGCTGGCAAGGCCAGCCGCATCCTTCACGTCAGCTCCATCACCCACGCTGCTCTCGAGGAGTTCAAGCTGCGTGACTTGAATTACAAGCAGAACTACGGCGACGGCTTGAACACCTCCTACGCGCTGTCCAAAACCTGCGAGATCATGTACACCTACAAGACGGCTGAACTCTTGAAAGGTAGCGGTATCACCGTCAACTGCCTGGATCCGGGAACCGTCAACACCAATATGCTCCTGAAAGCTTTGGGCCCGATCGGAATGCCGATCAAGGATGCCAACTTCGAGTACAGAGCGGCCATCGACCCTGCCTTAGATGGGGTGTCCGGCAAGTATTTTGTGGATGACAAAGAAACCGAATCGTCGGCCGTTTCCAATGACAAGGATCTGCAGGATAAGCTGTGGGATATCTTGGTCAAGATTACCGGTGCGGTGTATCCAAATCAAAATTGAACTGACAAGTGGCACCATCAGGATCTAGAATTTTTGAAAAGTGGAGGGGATCCCCAAGGAGAAAAAAAATATAGTTTCATAATATATATGTGTGTGGGCAAAGTTTCAATAATGCGTGCTTAGAGCAAATGAATAAACTGAGCTTTATAATAGGTTCTTGTCAAAACTTCACCCATCGTGGTGAAAGAAAAATCATTGTAACTAACAGGACAGTTCAGTGGTGTAATGGTGCACACGATAAATACAGAAACAGTTAGTTGTACCACACTGCTCATATTTCAGGCTATTGAAGCCTTTTTTATTTAAAAGCTCATGGATAAACTCACAAAAGACCTAGCCTAGGCCTGAATAAAAGACTTGCAGCAGGCCAAAAGACAAATCACATTCCACGCAAAAGCGACAGCGAAGTGAATTTCATGTAAACAAATGAATTTTCATTGTGACGTTTGCTGTTACCCCAATGAATTCGCTTCGTGGAGATATGCAATGGCATTAAAGGGAATATACAACATTTTCAAACATCGAAAAATAAAACTACTAAGTTTTTACGAAATACCTTACTAGGATGTTGGTAAATGACAGTCTGAAGCATCTTGTAAAATTATGGCACCTGGTGTAAAGTCATTTTCAAGAAAATGGTATTTTTGTATACATTTCCAACTACGGTGGTCGGCCGACCAGCGTTAGAAAAACCTAACTATTTTTCAACTACTGCTCCAAATTTACAATTTTTTCAGTCCTAATTTTGTTTGCTATATTGGTTACATGTTCATGAACGGGTGCAGGTCAGCTAGACTGGTTCCCTTGCCTTACAATTTTCCATCATCTATAAATTGATCCATTTTATCGGGGAACCAGACTACTTGAACATTTTTGTTTTTCTTGGTTTTTCCAACCTTTTCGAACACAAAACTTTAAAAATGTCAGTGTAACAGTATTTGATCTATTATACTTACCCCTCAAATAGTTCATTTCTGAAAATTACAGCAAAAGCCAATGATGTACATTTCCTTTAAGACCCATATGCTCATGTATTATTCATATTTCATGAATTATTCATATTTCATGCCACACTTTGTGGGGCATGTGTGGTCTAGCGCTGGAACACAGGATTCATGATCTTGAGATTGTGGGTTCAAGCCCCGCCTTGACCATGCGTGTTGTGCCCTTGAGTAAGGCGCCTTTACCTCAGTAACTCATCTCAAATTAAATGGGTGCTAAATGGCTACCGGCATTACTCAATGCTGGGAATGTAACAGAATCGCTGTGGAGGAGGTGGGACAATCCCCCCACAGCAGCATTTCATGGACTGGAGTCTGGCCCAATCACTTCGAAAGAGAGATGGGCACTCCGTTCCTGTGAACACAGGTTCGTCCCCTTTACCTTTACTCTACCTGCCACTCTTTGAAGGGGGTTTCCTTTTAAAATTGAGGCTTCGGTGTAAAATACGACTGTAAAAGTTGATAAAAGTTGAAGAAACTTTCCATCTATTTCCAGAATATCAACTGTACAGACAGTGTTGTAGTTGAGTCCATCACAAGTCAATCGTCCAGTTCCAATCCAAGTCAAGCTAAGTAAATGGACTGCAACAAAAAGGCTCTTCTTTGTTACTGTTCACTACGGGGGGGGGGGGGCTGTGGTCCAATGGTTACGGTGTTCACTTGTGTGCCGTGGTACGCGGGTTCGAATCCTGACGGGGAACATGGTCCTTGTGCTCTTGAGCAGGGCATTTTACCATTATTGCTTTGTCCTTCGGATGGGACTAAAGCCGTAGGTCCCAGTGTTGTGTAATGCACGTTAAAGAACCCAGTAACACTTATCGTTAAGAGAAGGGGTTTGCCCCAGTGTTTCTGGCAGTGGCTGCAATATGGGCCACAGCACCTTGTATACCCTGTATAAAAGGTGCTACAAAATGGGTTTCATATTTCTCATAAAATTCATGTCTTTAAATAAATAGACATAATTACCAGCGCCTTGAGTACCTAACTGTTGGTAGATACGTGCGCTATATAAGACTCCGGTATTATTGTTACTTGTAACTCGACTTCTGCATTGACTTGTGACCTGATTTGTGACTCAGCTACAACATTTGTGTTTATGTTCATGTTCATGTGAGTTTCCAAGTTAATGAAAAAGGAGTACAAAGTTTTCCTGCGTAGTTTGGTTCATGCGCATAGCTCAAGTCATCAACGCGCTAACCAGGCAGATGTCATCACACTTCGGTACTGGGTTATAAACTCATAACTGAATACTTACAAACTCTTCACTCGTAAAGATAAATAATGTCCAGTGTCACAAAATGTACTTTTCACATCCACGCTTGACATTCTGCGTCCCTTTGAGTTGAAGCCAGAGACAAAATCATGGTTTCGAAAATGGTTGAAGATTGTGCTGATACCAGAAGATGTGTAGATAATTCCTGAAGAAACTGAATCCACAGTTGTTGTCTCCATCTCAGATAATGGCGTACTGCTCATAGAGAAGCTCTCGCACTTTGAACTAATCTGGACTCAAGCAGCCCTCTAATGTTATCCTTCCAGAATCGTTCTGCACAAAATGAACACGATTAACAAAAATGTCATTTTTGGGTTGTTTCTCAAATGGTGGTAACAAACAAAAAATGTCATTTTAGCGCCTCACTCTTTTGGGTCTTATAGTTACACATTATTAACAGAAACCAATGGAAAGACCTATCCCAGTAACTGTACACTCCAAACATGCAACACCCTTTATGATCACTCACGGCAAAACAAGATTTTTTTTACAAACATTTTCAGCTACTGACTGTCATACACATGTAGGGCTTTAAAAGAGGGATTGCTGGAGATTTTCAGACATCCAGGTATTATCAATTCGCAAAAAGGTGAAACAAGACACTGGACTTAAACTTACTTGACGGAGGACAGTCTCACTATACCTATCTGGGCCGAATGGGCGGCTGGAAAGAGCCGGTGTCCCTACACTACACTCCGGTGATTAACGTGATCAACAGAACAGTAGAAGAGACAATCACAACGCCCCTTCAGGCACCGGTCGCTTCCCCGCCGCCCATTGAGCTAAGGAAGCGACCCAGATAGGTCGTGAAATTGTTCTCCATCCAGTACGTTTAAGTGCAGTTGTCTTTTTTCCCCAACTTTTTCGACTTTAAAAATGGAGTTAGTCCAATGGCAAATCACTTTCCATATAATTAAATCACAATTATACCTGGAGCATCCTGACCCTAACTTGCGTACATCTGAATATTGGTAAAGGCAGATTTTTAGCTTGTAGCAAACAAGTTGACAGCCTTGGGTTAAGGCTTTTAATGACTGTGACTATTTTCCCAGACAAACATGCCAAGCCCATCTGTTCCTGTAATCCATTTTTATGGATGAACTTTGAGGTAAGGAATATAAGCATATTATATTAGTTATCAATGATCAATCTCCATTTTGACCTTGCCCTATACCTAAAATAAACAGCAGGAGGTCAGGTTGGCACAGTGGTACTTGCCTTTCACCACTGTAACTGTATGCAAATCCTACCTAGGCCAACACGTGGATTTGGTTTTATTCAGTCCATTCCTGATTATGTGGGTTCTCTTAAGAATATCATTCCAGAATTCTCCTCCAAACTACAAAATGGAATATTTCGTCACTGCGTCCTCCTAACAACCATTTCGGACTGTCATTCCGAGGTCACACTGAACCGATTTATTCTGAAGATTTGAATTAAAGTACATACAAAGTCTGCCGTTTGAAACAGTAAAGAGTGACTACATCACAAGATTGAATGTGTCAGTCTGTCGGGATGACTAAAAAAAATAAAACGAAAAATTTAAAAGTAAAGTTTGCATATCTGAAACCAAAATATACTTAGCTCACTCCCACCCGCTTGGCGGAACCTGTGATCTGCGTCGAGGAGCTCGGATCTAATCTTGGGGTCTGCCCTGTCATACAGCTCAGCTAGTCAGATTAGCCGATTAATTACCGCATCTTGACCTCTAGATTTTGACCAATCAGCGGGCGCTTTCTATATCGCGAAACCTAGACACGGCTACTGTCAGAGCGGCCACCGACCCTGCCTTAATAGATGGGGCGTCCGGCAAGTATTTTGTGGACGACAAAGAAACCGAATCCTCGGCTGTTTCCAATGACAAGGACCTGCAGGATAAGCTGTGGGATATCTTGGTCAAGATTACCGGTGCGGTGTATCCCAATCAAAATTGAACTGACAAGTGGCACCATCGGGATCTAGAACTTTTGGAAAGTGGAGGGATCCCCAAGGACAAAAAATAATGTAGTTTCATATTATACGTGTGTGTGTGGGCAAAGCTTCAATAATGCATGCTTAGAGCAAATGAATAAACTGAGCTTTATAATAGGTTCTTGTCAAAACTTCACCCATCGTGGGGAAAAAAATCACTGTAACAGGACAGTTCAGTGGTATAATGGTGCACACGATAAATACAGAAACAGTTGTACCACACTGCTCATATTTTAGGCTATTGAAGCCTTCTTTATTCCAAAGCTTATGGATAAACTCGTGACAACTTAGCCTAAAGACTTGCAGCAGGCTAGAGGCCAGATCACATTCCACGCAAAAGCGAAAGCGAAGTGAATTTCATGTAAACAAATGAATTTTCATTGTGACGTTTGCCGCTATCCAAATGAATTCTCCTCTTGCGAGATTTGCAACTGCATTAAGAACCATATTCTCATGTGTTATCCATGTTTCAATCCGCTCTTAGTGGGGCACGTGTGGTCTAGCGTTGGAACACAGGATTCATGATCGTGCGATTGTGGGTTCGAGCCCCTCGGTGGCCATGCGTGTTGTGCCCTTGAGTAAGGCACTTTACCTCAATTACTCCTCTCAATCCTGGTGTTCAACGGGTACCGCATTACTCAATGCTGGGAAGGTAACAGACTCGCTGTGGAGGAGGTGTGGTAATCCCCCCACAGTAGCATTTCATGGACTGGAGTCTGGCCCAATCGCTTTGAAAGAGAGATGGGCACTCCGTTCCTGTGAACACAGGTTCGTTTCTTTTACCTTTACATTACACGCCCCTCTTTTAAGGGGGTCTCCTTTTAAAATTGAGGCTTGGGTGTAAAATACAACCGTACAAATTTTGAAGAAATCTTCCATTTATTAACAGAATATCAATTGTACAGACAGTGTCGTAGTTGAGTCCATCACAAGTCAATTATTCAGATCCAAGCCAAGTCAAGCTAAAGCCCTTTTCACACTAGAGCCTCTCAACCCGGGTTGAACTCAACCCTGGGTGACCCAGTGCCGCCCCGGATTGAGTTGTTGATTTTTCAACCCCGCGTTCAACCCCGCATCATTTCACACTTGTTTCATGCAAATCAAGCTTATCATGCTCAGTTACTACTGTTTTGAACCCTGGCAAGAACTTCAACCCGGGTTGAAAATCTCAACCCTGGTCTGGATCAGGGTTGAGTTCAACCCGAGGCAAACTCAATCTCGGGGTTGACGCAGGGTTGACGCAGGGTTGAAATTCTTCAAGTGTGAAACGATGCATGTTTTCAACCCTGCGTCAACCCTGCGTCAACCCCGAGATTTGTCTAGTGTGAAAAGGGCTTAAGTAGTCGAACACCTTTATAACGAGGTCCTTGGGACTTAACAGATTAACTTGTTATAACAGGTACCTTGTATTAACAGTAAAATGGAAAACAAAGAAAAACAAAGACTCTGGACCTAAGGCCAAAAAAAAAAAGTCTCCGGTTTCTGGTATGCGCGTGCGTCGCCGTAGCCATGCGCGTCGGCAAAATGAAAAAGTTTTTTTTTCAATAAAAGATGATGTCTCAAAACCGCCAAACTCACTGGTTTGACTGGAATTCTGCTGCTGCACAATTTTAACGTGTTTTTAGATTGGGTTATGGTCGAGAATAAGCTTTATGTGGCCTCTCTGGACTCCCATACATTTGCACCAAGTTTAGTAGGGCACCATTTGCAGTCATCAGCCGACATTTGAAGCAAAAAAATCAGGTAAAAAAAAAAAAAAAGCCGCGTCGCCGCACCACTTTTTGGGCAAGCTCCATACCAGAAACCGGAGACTTTTTTTTTTTGGCCTAAAGTTGTGCTTGTTATAAGTAGGATGTTGTATTAACAGTGCTCTTCTTATCAGGGTTGAACTGGAAATGAACTGCAACAACAAGACACTCCTTTGTTACTGTTCATTACTTGTGACTCGACTTCTCGAAACCTGATTTGTGACTTGGCTACAACATTTGTGTTCATGTTCATGTTCATGTGTTTCCAAGTTAATGAAAAAGCAATAGACTACAATGTTTTCCTGCGTAGTTTGGTTCATGCGCATAGCTCAAGTCATCATACGCGCTAACCAGGCAGATGTCATCACACTTCGGTACTGGGTTATAAACTCATAACTGAATACTTACAAACTCATAACTCGTAAAGATAAATAATGTCCAGTGTCACAAAATGTACATTTTCACATCCACGCTTGACATTTTGCGTCCCTTTGAGTTGAAGCCAGAGACAAAATCATGGTTTCGAAAATGGTTGAAGATTGTGCTGATACCAGAAGATGTGTAGATAATTCCTGAAGAAACTGAATCCACAGTTTTTGTCTCCATCTCAGATAATGGCGTACTGCTCATAGAGAAGCTCTCGCACTTTGAAGTAATCTGGACTCAAGCAGCCCTCTAATGTTATCCTTCCTGAATCGTTCTGCACAAAATGAAAAAGATCAACAAAAAGTCATTTTTGGGGTGTTACTTTTGGTGCTTTCTCAGGTGGGTTGTTTCTCAAATGAGAGGTAATAATGTGGCAGGGCCAAGTTTTACTTGTGTATTTTGATAGTGTATTAAATAGGAGTAGCTCCCCTTAGAAAAAGAAAATCATTTTAGTTGAAGTTAAGATGTCCCCCCCCCCTTTGTTGGTAGTGTGACCCCCTGTTTGTTTACTTAAGCCCACATGTTCCCCCTATAAAAGCTGCCACATGGTCAAGTCACATTTCAGTTCAGCCAGCAGACAATAGACATACATGCATATATTTTCCTCCTAACTGGAGTGCCTGTTCTGCTTGAAGTTAGTCTGTTGCCGAGTCATTTGCTTTGGTGAGTTTTCTTTTGTATATTGTCTACTTTTCATTTATCATGTATAATTATTATTAAAAATATAGTCCAGTTTTCTTTTGAAAGTTTGTTTAGTTTTTATAGTTTAAGTAAAAGTGGATTTTGGTCAGCTTGAAACTTTGAAGAATTGCCAGTTCTGAAGTGACCCTTTTCATATTATTTGGCTTAAGACTTAAGTATTTTTACTTCTTTTTGATGATAGTTGTTTTTATCCTTTCAGTTTTAATGATGAAGGTTAAAGTTTTGTATGAAAGTCTCATTTTGATTCCTTAAGAGAAAAGTTTCTAGTTGTTCTCGGCTGTTTGACTGCAACCTTGGTTTTACTGAAGGATAGATTTTGCCTTGTTTCATTCAGTAAGGTTAAGATTTCACTTTGATTTTAGATTTTCTCATTTTCTTTTTGCATATTTTTAAAAGTATTAATACATAAGTATACATGTAGATGATCTCAACCATGTGCTTTAGCTTTTCATAGAATTGTCTTTGTTCTCATTTAACTCACATGGCCTGTGTATAGGATGGTGCCACTGGACTTGTTTTATTACTGCAAATCTGTCACTTTGGGGATTAGTGTCCCCCACTTCCTTTGTATCTAATATTCATTAGATCATTTTCTTATATGTTTTCTCTTTTTGTATTTTCTTGTTTACAGACCTTATTCCTGCTTGAGTGTTCTTTGAAAGATTCACTATTCACACTGTGTTGGTTTTCGGTTTAAGTCTTTGCTTTAAGTTATTTTTAAGTCTTTGGTTTTTTAGGTTTCATTTTTATGTATTAGGGTTTTAGGTTTTAAGTCTCAATTTCTTGGTTTAAGCATAGAGCAAGGACATGGTTTAAGGTTGTTGTAAATAAATTCTTTTTGGTCCTTTTTGGTTTGAAATCTAGAATTGGTCTCTGGTCTCTATTAATTCAATTTCCTCGCGACTTTTCCCTTCAAAGATCCATTGAGTATTAGTTTTCGGAGTTCCCCCAAGTGTGTCATTTTTCCAGGTTACATTAACACCTCACTCTTTTGGGTCTTGCTACACATTATTAACAGAAAAGAATGGAAAGACCTATCCAAGTAACTGTACAATCCAAACATGCAACACCCTTCATATGATCACTTACAGCAAAACAAGTTACTGAACCAATTTATTCTGAAGATTTGAATTAATACAACGTCGACCATCCGTTTGAAACAGTAAAGAGAGACTACAAAACAAGATTGAATATTTTTTTTTTAGTTTTGAAAAGAGTACAATCTCATCAACATTAGTGATGTGAAAACCACATGCTGATACCATCTTTAGTTCAAAAAAATATGGAAGTCGGAGCACCAAGAGATGTGATGAAGTGATGTGATGAAGAAGCCCTATTTTGGCCTGAATCTCCAAAGTAAAGTTTCAGACAAACGACTCATTTAGCTTGATTGAATAACATATTATATTAGCTATCAATCTCCATTTTGACCTTGCTCTATTCCTCCAAAAACAGCAGGAAGTCAGGTTGGCACAGTGGTACATGTACTTGCCTTCCACCACTGTAACTGTGTGCAAATCCTACCTAGGCCAACACGTGGATTTGGTTTTATTAAAACCATTCCTGATTTTGTGGGTTCTCCTATAATGTAGTGATCTGAAAAGTAACTATAATTGTTATGCATGGCGTGTGAACAGCTGCGCAAGAGGACAGCTGCGTGCGTGCACGCGCGCGTTGGGGTAACTGCGAATATAATAATATTATTTTGTTCTTAAAAAGAAGGGAGAGTTGGCATTGGGTGGCGAAGGAGGGCGGTTAATGATGGCTTGTATTGGAGTTAATGTTTGGTAGGGAAAGAGAAAGGATGTATATTGTAGTGGGAGCTATAATAAAGGTTTTGTAAACACAACTGAAGTGTGACCGACTGTTTTTGTGCAAGACTGAATCTTCCAGAAATTCCCCTTCAGCACTTCACGGGAAGTTTCCCGGGATTCGTTCCTGTTTACGACGCTTTACACTAAGAATATCATTCCAGAATTCTCCTCCAAACTACAAAATGGAATATTTCGTCACTGCGTCCTCTAACACCCATTTCGGCCTGGCGTTCCAAGTTCCAAGGTCACACGGAACCAATTTATTCTGAAGAATTGAATCAAGTACATACAAAGTCTGCGGTTTGAAATAGTAAAGAGTGACTACATCACAAGATTGAATGTGTCAGTCTATAAGGATGACTCCAATGTTTAGTTAACGAAAAAATAATACGTAAAGGTTGAATATCGGAAACCAAAATAAACTTAGTTCGACTTGGGTTGCTCTTAAAACTGTTTTGGTTTGGCGCGAGTAGAACACCAGGCTGATATGGGTGCAAGTTCTTCAGTCAGACTCTACAAGCTTCTGATCCAGAATGCCTTGTGCACTTTTGAGGTATCCTTGATTTGTCAGTGTCTTACCCTTTTGATTGCCACGACCGAATTGCAGACCAGCACACCGCCATTGAACTCCGCCTGTATGCCGTTGCGTGACATGACCTGCTTGAGATCTTGAAATTTAGGAGCGTTCACAAAGACTTGATAATGGCCTGGAACCTGCAGGAATACAAAATAAAAAGTTACATGTAAGGCCAAAAAAAAAATATTCGGTCTCTGGTCAGACCAAAGTTCCGGAATTGACGCGGCCACGCGGCTTGTTTGTTTGTTTGTTTTTTGTTTTTTTTCTTCAAGCTTGGATTGTACAGACAAGGTGGGGTACTATTTTGCTTTTTTGGTGTCCTCGTGTACATTGGTGTCCTCCATAATTTGCCTTGGTGCTCTCGATTATTTGCCTTGGTGCAATTTCTCATTCCTTGGTGCTCTTTGGTAAAAACAATTGAGGAGGTGCGGCAATAGAGGGCGCTGTTGGAGCTACCGCAGAACATTTTGGAAAAAACAAAGATTGACGCGCATGATTAAAATCGACGCGTGCGCTGACCAGAGACCGACTTTTTTTTTTTTTGCCTAACCAGATCGCACAAAATGAGTCTTAAGGACAACTATCTCACTTGTAAGTATTGTAAGAGTATGCATGTACATGTACATGTACTTTTGATAATTTGATTTATCACTTGGTTTTAAGGAGTTAGATTTGCGGGTGTACCTCTTTTGTGAGTAAGTGTTGGCTCAGAAGAGAGGTGGTGAGTAAGATCTCGACGTTTTCAACAGTTTACTTTGTCTGTCTTCAGGAGAGTGCTGGGCTGGTTTAATATTTTAATGTATGCAGATATTACATATTGTGAAAATGTTGAACATTTCTACTGATTTTTCCTCAAGCACCTTCAACTCACTTTATTCTGTTGAGTAATAAACCAAAATCTTCCAAACATCCGTTCCAGTCAGAAATAATACTTTTCTGATACAAAACCCTGAATACTTTGTTATGAATCCTTAGGTGCACGGGGCAGTGACTAGTGAAGGCCCAAGAAACTATATATAACCAGTGCGTCTAATCCAAATAATCTGTGCACCAAAGGGATAAAGACAGGCATATTGATATCTTATCATCATTCTCCTCAAATACTGAGCCCTTATCTTATAGCAGCAGCAGTGGCGTAGAATTCTGGTAGCTGATTCAATGACTCCAACCTCGAAAACAATTTTCTTATGCCTTTAGCTGAGAAAACCTTAAAAATTATGTTTAAATTATTATCTTTTGTGCTAAGACAATTATTGGTTCAAGTGGTAAGAAATTGCCTCAGATCACACCACAGAGCATCAAGAATCCAATTTTTTTCGGGGCCCTTAAGCGGGCCCCGAACTCCACGCCTATAGCTCAGAATACCGATAGCTGATTCAATTACTCCAACCTCGAAAACGATGTTCAAATAATTATCTTTTGCTAAGAAAATATTAGTTAAAGCATGGAGGAAAGTGGTAAGAAATTGCTTCAGATCACACCACAGAACATCTAGAATCCATTTTTTTTCGGGGCCCTTACGCCGTAAGGGCTTCGCGCTCACATCAGTTCTGATCAAGGTATGTCCCCCCCCCCCACTTTTGAGAGGCGATTGACGCCCCTACATGACGCCCCCCCATGAAATGTTCCAGCCCCCCCCAGCGCCCCCCACTGAAAAATTCCTGGCTACGCCACTGTATAGCAGACATACCTCTTGTGGTGGGATAGCTCCCAGCATTGGTATAACCTCGTCAGCATCAGCACTGGTGTCTTTGCCGATACCCAAACCTGGGAGAAAACAATAAGAACGGCAGAGTCTAAACTCATCACAATGTACAGCAAGTATCAATGGACGGGTCCAGCAGGCTCCACTCACTGTTGTGATTGGTCGGAACACCATTTTGCAGGGTTTAATAAAGACTTGCTTTCTATTAACAGGTGGGCGAGGACATAAACAGGAATTCGGGCGATTCACAATGCGGTGCGGCACCAAGAGTTTGCCGCGAAGAGTTCATTTTTCCCAGTGCATTGTGGGAGATGGTCGACAAATTCACAGCGCGGGACATTTGAAATTGTTCGTTTTTCCAGTCAATAGTTTTGTAAAGGTATGCTTAGGTATGCAAACAGATTTAGGAATCTGTTTGCTCTTTTGTTTTCTTTTTATCAATGTGGGGCTTTTTTTGTGAGGCGGCAGAATGCTATGCCCAAATCTATGACAAATTAGTTCAAGTTGTATACTGACACTCATTCAAATGGGCCATGTTTTGTCGACCGTAAACTAGAAAACTGGACTCTCCATGGCAAACTCTTGGTGGTGCACTGCATTGTGAATCGCCCGAATTGTTTACATTGGCTTAATGTTAAGAAATTGTAAACATGAAACGATTGATAGGGGCATTACTACCAATGCCATTTAAAACCCTAGGTAATACTTAAAACCAACAAACTGAAGTGCAACCACAGTCAAAATTCATGGCATTGCTTTATGGTTAGCAGAAGAGTTGAACTAGGGACAGCTGACAACATTGTGCTGACTTTCTCATGTTTAATGGTATTCAAAACAAGTCCTGACTTGGGGTTCAACCAGCTCAAATCGCTCTCAACACCCTCGCTTTCAAAAGTATAAACAAGTTTTTTATATCAAATTAGGTCTTGCCCTTCACCGACGTAAAAAACACTGCACATTCAGTGTGTCACCTCCCAAGTGAAAGTCGGAAAATTCACTCGGGCGGGACTCGAACCCACGACCTCCTGCCCTCCAGTGCAGACATCCTACCACTCGACCACCGAGCCAACGGAATCGGTTGGCCGGTTTTGTATAGCACAAAAAAACTATCTACCTGGTGCTTTGACCTTGACTTCTGACCCCTCCTCTTCTGTGACCTCAGTTTGTTCCTTGTTGACACCTAGGTCAGAAGTCGGGAGGTCAAGTTGGCCATCGATCCATGCCAGCTCTGCATCTTTGGCTTTGGAGAACTCAAGAGAGCTTACCAACGAGTCCTTTAATCTCACCTATGAGGGGAAAACCAAGAATTTCGAAGATGACATGATTCAGATAAGGAGCACATTCTAAGATTGCTTTGTCCGTGTTTTTCACTGTTTCTCTGAAATGCATCCACTGAGCTGGGCTGAAATTTCATCGGGGTAGTATTTAAAATTCTGTTACTGATTTGGATTGCTGTTGTTTCGGAAATCATAAAAAAAAAAAATAACAAAGACCTTAACCCTAACACCCCAGCATAATTTACTAGGAACCATACCCATCCAGGCAAATTCCAACACCCACATGGGAAATCGTACACACACTGTTGGACTTAGCTTCTGGAGGTACGCCAAACCCAATGTAAAAGACCATCAGTTTAGGGGTACTGTACCTATCCCAACAGATTTAAACAAAAGCTGCTGTTGGACTTTGATGGGTTGAGTTCAGTTAGGGTTAAGGGCCTGAGGGATTAATTTCAATGCAGCCAGAAAACTTACTTGATAGATGTGGCTCTCCATAGTAGCATCCATTGTCTCGTTGATACTGGGTGTGAATACTTTAGTCCCTGCTAGCTGCAGACGGCTGTATTCTGCCAAATGTTGCGTGGCCTCCTCTGCACCGTGTACGATAATCTGTCAAAATTATACAAAGAAAACATTTCAAGACATCTTCCTTCCAAATATAAAGCTATCCCATGCATCATCAATGGAAATAGTCACTGGTCTTTAGCTACATAGGGCAACAAGTTTCTATTTTAATAAGGGAATAAATGTGTGCTCCGGAGGTTTTTATCACTCTGTTTAAGACCGCTTAGAGTCTGGGCGCTGATAATTACCCGAGCCGGATAATGAAAATGAAATAGACATAACTTGGGTATACAGTATGCAAATTCAGTGAAATTTTCAGAGTTACTAGTCAATAACATGTACTTTATCCCTATGTTAGTTTTATGAAATTGAGTGAACGACATCTTTTTCAAAACATTTTTTTCTAATTCGGTCACTTTCCTTTTGACTCGCCCTTTTACATGAACCGTGGTGCCAACTACAGAAGTTTCAGGTATCATTTCACAATGCCTACGCTTGACTTATTTTAGCAACATTTAGAAGGAGTTTTGACTGTGGAATATTTGGGGTTGGGGGGGGTGGGGCTTGAAAAATGTTGGGGCGTCCTTGCGCACATTCTGAAAGGAAGCCTTTATTTTCATTGAATGGTTTTCCATTAGTCAAATCAAAAACTGTAACAGAATAATTGGTATATTGAACAATGAAATTAAATGCTTTCGCCATTAACCCTAACTGCCCTGAATCCTTCAAAATCCTCTTTGCCAAAGAGGAAGAATTTGGAGGATTGAGGTTACATGGCAAAAGTGCGTTACTGATTTCGTAAGATGCACTTTGGCAAGGTCTTGGGCCAGACCTTGTGTTGTTTTTGCTCAGCCATGCAAAAATATAGGCCTGGATTATGCTTGAAATCCTCCTTTGCCCCAAGATGTCACTTGCCAAGCCTCAGCATATTGACAGTCACTGCCGCAGGATTTTGCAGGATTCAGGCAGTGGTCACCCTCCACGGACTATATTCAAGAAATAATGGAGGATTTTGCAGGATTGAGGCTTCCATGAGGCCAGTTGGAGGATTCTGCAGGATTGAGGCTACATCCTAGCAAAAGGCCTAGGGAGTTAGGGTTAAAGTGAGCCCCATGTGTACATTAATCACCTGCCTGGATTTGTCTGTAGGCACAAGGCCATTGCAACCCTGGGCGGAGTGACCTGATGCCCCTGGGGCATAAAAAAAACACAATTTTTTGAAGAAAAAAAAAATTGAGGGCCAATGACGGTCACCTCCTATCTAATCCTCATTCAACCCTTGCCAAATCAGCTGGTTCAATGAACTTTGCAGCCAGGGCTACACCCAGGCCGTGTCAACAAACTTTCGACCAGGCCTCCTGCCAAGTCTCATTGAAACATCAACAAAGACCTGTAACTTGACACAGCCATCTCCCTTCATAACTGCATACCACAGCCGCCAGTCAATTATCTTTCCAGCGCACTGTCTGGCAACTGTCTGGACACTGTCTGGCACGTGGCTTTTTGTTGTATTGCTATGAATAGGGTCTTGCGCAGCGCGGGAAAGTACCTGCTGCCCAGAGGTTCTCCGTTGACGAGTTGTTGTAAAAAAAATTTGTAAACGCTGCGCAGGGTTAATGAACAATATCATTCATTCACATGCACACAAATCACTTGGCTGCATCTTACCAGTTGCCGAGGCTTGACCTGCGTGATGAGTTTCTTGATGGACTCGCCATCAGAGCGCCCCTCAAAATCAATGAAGTTGACTGAGCATTTGACCTCCAGCGTGACCTCCCGGGAGACACACTTGGTTGGAATGTCTGCTCCAGCTGAGGTCAAGAAAAAAAATATGTCAACAACAATTCTAAAGGGATGTACATGTAGGATCATTTTTATTTTCATGCGCTTTGTTTGTTTCCAATAATAACACCACTCAAAAACCAAAGAAGAATGTTCGAAACCTAACTTGTTGAAGTCTCAGTTCGGTGAATGTAACACTTTTCGAGAAAACAGTGGAAACTATGCACAACCTTTTGATCACGAAACACGATTTCATCCATGGCACTCTTTATTTCCAATAATCAGTCAAATGACTGATTGTTGCAAATCCTGTTCATTTCTTGATTTCTTCCAAATGACAGCAAGCCAGACGGAATAATATCACGCGGTGTTTGGCAGCAGTACGATCTTTTATCCAAGTAAGCTTTTTGATAATAATTTGGTAGTTTACTTTTGGGATAAATACAAATGACCCTTTATTCCTTTAAGCCTAAAAATTGAGTACAGTTTTTTTTTTCTGCAATGATAAATTGTTTTGAAAGTGTTGTGTGACTATTTGGTGATATCTATGACCTTTTTCGGGACTTCTTATTACCGTTCAGGTAACATATTAACTTAACATTGCTAACATATTAGACATAATAAAGTTTAAAATCAAATTTGTGATGCGATCAAGCTAAATGAGTCGTTTGTCAGGAATTTTTATTTGGAGATACAGGCCAAAATAGGGCCACTTCATCACATCACTTGGTGTTCCCACTTCCATAATTTGTTTAACTAAAGATGGTATCTACATGCGGTTTTGACAGCAGTTATGCTGAGATTGTGCTCTGTAAAACAAAAATTGACCAGGGTCGACAAACGACTCATTTAGCTTGATCGCATCACATTTACAAAGACAAGACAAACACATAGGGATATCTCACCTTCTCCTAAGTCTTCACCATCAAAGCCATCTTCCTCCTGAACACCAAACAAATATGAAATAGTTTCAGCACTCAGATGAAGTTTAGCAGGCCAAACCAGTGATAACAATGAGCACTGTAACATCAGATGTCTGGCAGGGCAGGTTTGGGGTGGTACAGGACTGATGGGTTGAACGATTATGATTTAGGCCCAAAAAAAAAAATTCGGTCTCTGGTCAGACCGAAGTTGCGGAATTGACGCGGGGACGCGTCTTTTTTTTTTTTTCAAGCTTGGATTGTACAGACAAGGTGGGGTACTATTTTGCTACTTGGTGTCCTCATGTACATTGGTGTCCTCCATAATTTGCCTTGGTGCTCTCGATCATTTACCTTGGTGCAATTTCCCATTCCTTGGTGCTCTTTGGTAAAAAAAATTGAGGAGGTGCGGCAATAGAGGGCGCTGTTACAGCTACCGCGGAACATTTTGGGAAAAAAAAAAGATTGACGCGCATGATTAAAATCGACGCGCGCGCTGACCAGAGACCGACTTATTTTTTTTTTTGGCCTTAGGGATAAATGGGTTAACTGATCTTTGGCATTCATCCTCAATCCTCTACCATCATCCAAACCCGGCAGGAGGATTTTGGAGGATCGAGGAGGATTTGGGTTAATTCTTGAAAGACAGCATGGTCACGCTTTAATACAGATGCTTGGGAGAGTTGCATAACAAAATCAACAGGCACGAGGCGACGGGCAATTTGGTCGTAAGTAATTACCTGAACAAGCCTCAGATCCACCCATCAGAATAGAGAAGCAGAAAGACATACATCGTACTATGAACCAGGAATGTCTTAAATCCTTTGGTTCTGGACAAAATGTCTAAAACGGCACAAGGGTGATTATTTCAGACACTTGGTCACCGTTTCTGAAATGTAAGTGGTTTTAACCAGTTCACGTCGGATAACGTGTATACACGTAAAGGTTTTGCGGTATTCGGAACGGATGACACGCACCTGAGCAAGGCTGGAAATATCTGTCTGCGACCCACTCACAGCGAGCGAGGCCGGGAATATCAGGGTGTGCTACCCCCAGATGACGATGTGCTACCTGCAGATGACGGCCTGAACCCGTCTGGCATCGAGGTTCCTGAAAAACAATCCCACGCCTTGGTCTGGTCGATGTCAAAATAATCCCGGCGCAAACTGGTTAACAGGTTTTTGTTTCAGACATTCAAAATAAAATGTCTGAAACGGTGACCAAATGTCTGAAAATCCCAATTGCTCTGTTTCAGATATATTGTCCAGCATTTCAGACATTCCTAGATCATAGTGTCATCTATCCATTCATAAACAGTAAGAGCAGAGACAACTCACAGCTTTAGTTTTCTCTTCCTCCGCCTGTGTCATTTCTGTGACCATGTAGTCTTCTGGTTTGATCAGCTCGCCGTACTCGTCCCATCTTATCCTTTCCTCGTGGAATGGGAACATGGGGTAGGACTTCTTGGCGTGCTTGAAGAAGCTGGTGCCTTTCTTGCCACTCTGCAAAAGTAAGACATTTCTGTGAATGATGTCTTCATGTTTTCTGTGATGTGTGAAACCCAAAGATGGCATACGAGTTTTGGTATCATTGCCTATGAGCTAACCTCCGAATGAATTTCAGTGACTTGAATATGGTGGCATTGAAGGGACATTGCAAGTCGTGAATATATATTGACATCATTATCAGCAACAAAAATTCACGACTTGCTCCAAATTGCAAATATTAATGTCAATATTTAAATCAAAAATGTTACATCTCGCTCTCACGTCAAACACTTCACGTCTTGCTCCCCGGTCACCAAGTTTGAGGTCAAAATTCGCATTCAATATTGAGGTCATATATTGGCATTTCACGACTATATTCGCATTTGCTCTCGGTCGCAAATTGTGTTGTCGCATATTTTTCATACATCTGAGGTAAACCTGTAGACTTGATCTCGTGTCGGTTGCGTTTGTACAACGCTAAACTCAGCAAGCGGTGGCATCCAAATCCTGACTTTATGTGGGTCATGCAAACCAAGTCCCCAAGCCGCCCATCACAAATTCTTATATTGCCCTCACCTTGACGTTTAAAAATTCACACCATGGAGTGGTTATACAAGAATCGGGAGATCCGATAACAAAACTTGAAATGCCAAGTTTCGGCCACTGGATTGGAAATCGGGTGGATTTTTGATGTCCCTTAAAAGCCAAGATACTTGAGGCTTTGTTCATATTTGTTGTGAAAGCAAATGCAAAAGTGAATTTGTGTCGTCACAGCAAGCATTCCCACAACAAAGTTCAACATATTGCAGCGACAAACAATAGATGTAATGACGTCACGCATTATTTACATCAGCGCTTTCCTATGAGAGCAAAGCACACATGTAAACAAAGTGTGACGTCATTACGTCTTAGGTCAATTCATGAGGTCCACATCAGCATTCTTGTGAAATATGGACCAAAGTTTTAGTAGGTTTTTCAATGACACGTATCTCAACTGTAGTACAATATCACCAAAAAGACTTCATTAACCTCACCTCCTCGACAGCACAAAGCCACCCAGTGCAAAAATCTTAGTTTAGGAAACTATTTATACTCAGTGAGTCAGTTAGCTAGTCAGTCAGTCGGTTCATGTACAGAGGACAACAGGCAGGCCCTACATGAATGGGTCCAGCAAAAAAAACTTGGAAGTACCTCTGCCTTGAGCATGAGATCATGTTGGACGTATTTCTTGTTGCCTTTCAATCCTCCTACTTCACCAATCTCCATCTCTTCTTCACTCTCATCACTGGAGTCCAGGTCTGCACCCCTGGAGACAAAAACAGTAGCAAGGTCCGAGTCATGACTATACTTACATGTACATGTACTTGGTATCAGAATTGTTAAATGCAACCAAATCAACGCCTCATTGAGTTGGTGTGCTGGTGAAACGCAGCCAGGGTAAAATCAAGGGCCATTCTCAAAAACCTTGGTTTTGTTTTCGGCTTTGGATTTATCTTAAAGCTGTGCATTTGTGCATTGGTTATTCTTTGATTTTTGCCAAATTTGACTAAATGGAATGTTCCAGTACATGTATTCAATTTCGAAATGCACTATGAAGTTCAACAAACACCAGCCTGAACTGACCACCGATTGGGATTCACATGCTCCTTCGCTTATCGAGAATTGACAAAAAACTTGTTAAAATAATAAAGAAGAACAGGTAGCGGAGCGGCTGATATTTGACCGTTTTTAAGAAGACATTTGTGCTAAGATTCCTCATGGAAGCTCTTAAAACCATGCCGCAAAGTGGCATTAACCCTAACGTCCTAGCCACTACTTGGGATAAAGAATCGAGTACTACAGAGTACTATGAGTGTTGCGAACACTTACATGCTGAAGTGCATGAAGTATTTCAGTTTACAACTAGTAGTATTTTGTAGCTTTCGGTGAGGTTATAGGGTTAAACAAGAGTGTGGCAGTTGGTAAACAAAACGTTTTTTCATGATCTCCTCTCCTTCAGACCAGTCACATTGTTTTTTGAATGTTTGAATCGGGGAAAAAAAATGCTATTCAGAATAGACTTAGGCACGGTATTTCGAGCTATACGCGCACGAACAAGTGCATGCATTCAGTGTGTCTTTCCCGTTGGGGCTCCCAAAGTGGTTCAAACACTGTCCGTGTATGGAGTCCACTGGTGCTCTTTCGCATTTTCATGATTATGGGGATTTGCATACTCGTGAAGGTTGCCCATAGCTAACTTGTACCATGACAAACTAACAGGAGTTCTATTTATTATTTTATCATCTGTTTAGCTTCTTGGATCAATCCCTTCCTGAAGTGCTGAATTCCATTCGGGTGATTCCATATTAGAAAGTCAAACATTGATAAAATTTAGAAATTCCCTAAAATATCTGCCGACGGGTGAATTACATACCTACATACAGAGACCAAATCAGGTTTCATGAAAATGGCCGGGAATGTGATACTTTTGGTCAAAATTAAAGGGATTAGTTTATTTTTTTAAATGCCTTAGAATTTCGTCCTGTGCGACACATGACTTTGTCCCATACAACACACAATGATACCAAGATAACATAAGATGATTGGACTTGTACAAAATCAAAGATTTTAGATGCAATCAACTACAGACATTGTACTGGAATGTCCAGTACGACACATATGGAATCACCCATTGCAAGCATTTTCTTGTTACTGTTACTTAAGATCTTTTCTTGGTTTTACAGATCAACAAATACTGTGTTGTAGCGGCGCTTTCCTGGCTTACTTTCTGAGCTTCTCAGCTGCGTTTCTTTCCTTCTTTTTCAGTCGGTATTGCTCAAGCTCCTCGGGGTCTAGCTTGACCCGCTTGCTCAGCTGCGGAAGACAGAAGAAATAGAAACAAAACTTCAAAAACTCCATTTTTTTACCTTTAGAATCCTGCTCGGTCCTGGATGCCCAAAGTCAGTTTCGGTGCTTGTTATATAATTAAAGGGAATATACAACATTTGCTTTTGCTGCAATTTTCAAAAGTAAATGGATTTGGAGGATTAGTATGTAATAGAAAATATTGTTAAACTGACTTGTTTCACGTTTTGGGACTGGAGATGCTGGAAAATCTAAGAAAACCAACCATGTTCTTGTAGTCTGGTTCCCTGACCCCACTTAAGATCAGACGTTGCAATTTATAGACTTAGGGGAATTGTAAGGTCAAAGAATCAGTCTAACAGACTTGTACCCCTTCACAGATGTGTTATCAATTGCAAAGAAAATGCGGAATAACTAAATATGAAAACTGAGGAGCCCTTTTTGAAAAAAAAGCCAGTGTTCTCCAACGATGGTCGGCCGACCAGTGTTGGAAAAATACAAGTTTTCTTGAAAATGTCACCACACCAGGAGCCAAGATTTTACAGGGAGCTTTATACAGTCATTCACTACAATCAAGTAAGACATTTTGTTATGATTTGATAATTTCGTTTTTTGATGTAGGGAAATGTATCTTCCCTTTAAACACAATTTAAGAATACAATAAACCAAAAAAATGAAGTTTAAAAACAAATGTTATATTGTTTTTATTGTTTAAAGTTCCATGGGCTGCAAATTTCTCATTTTCTCAATATTGCGTTTTAGAATAAACTCATTCAAATAACTTTTGCAAAGCAGATTTACATACTGAACCAAACTATTTCTGAGAACCATCACAACCAACGACTTACATTATTGCATGGCAATATGGCTGGTAATCAGTTTTTGCTTAGCAGATATTTTTCCAGACTCGTGATATTACTTATGATCATCCCATCACAACTCTGACCTACCTTGAGTTTGACTTCTTTCTGTTGGATGTTATCGATGAACGACCGGGCCAGTGTTCCGTGACTGCTCCGGCATGTTAGGACAATGCTGTTGTTGGGGTTGTCGCACCAGTCAACAAAGAGACTACGGGAGTACCCGCACTGGAGATCAGGGACACTGGCAAGCACAACCTGTGGGATGGGTCAGGGGAAAACAGGAATGTTACCTCTGTAACAAAAAACCTGTCCTGCACCTGAATTCATGAAACTCATCGTAACTACAATGCATCGCAGCGCTGCGACGCGTCCTGCGATCCATTTCACAAAACACGTCGTGATGCTACGCATCGTAGGTGTATTTATAGCACAACTCAGTGACTGTTTTATGTATCTATTCAGCGTACAGTAAATATTCATCTGATATTCAACATCTCCTCTTGAAAACTTTTGAAATGTAAAACAAAATGGCAGACGTGTGATGCAATTTTAAAGGAAAACAAGCTCTCAGTGGACTGTATAGCTACTTTGAAATTTCAACTGCAATATTCAGGCTAATTCATAATTATTCAATGCACTTTCTATTTACAACTTTACACACAGTACAGTATTACAGTCTCGTTTATGATTTTTTTATGGCATAAAACTTGCTAAGAAAAGGACGCTTCTTATTTGCGATGACCACTAGACACGTCGTAACTTGTGAAGTGTTTTAAGCTGTTGTCAAGGAAATTAGGATGCTTATAACACATTTCGTGAAAGAAGTTTCGTGAAATGGATCATACGACGCATCGCGAGTTGCAACATGTTACACATCATAACTCAGGTTGAGACGCGTCGCAGCGCTTCGTGAAATCGGGTGCTGTTCTGTCCAAGGGTGCTGGTGGCAGGAAATTGAGCTGTCAATGGATAGATCTTCATTTGACAAGTGACCCGGGGTGATATTTTGTCAGGTGTTCTGGCAAAATGAGACAGAACTAGGCAGATGTTGAAATGAGGGTTTTTAGGGTACATGTATGTGTTAGGAAAGAGAATAAACGTCTCCTTAAAATACTGTTTGTTGTACTTCAATCACACATTACGTTGACAAAAAACTGTATAAAAGTTTGCATGTCTCGATATGTCAATAGGTAACATACTGAGAAGAAGGCCTTTAAATTTGCAGCCGCACTGCAAAAACAGAAGTTCTGTTCCATGGTAAATACAAGTTCCATTGCACGGTCACACTCTTGGTGGCTCTGGCCAATAAGATGACGAGGATTTATTCAGGTTTTGTATACTTTTTATTTATATTTCACATTCGTGCAATGGACAGAATAAGTTCATTTGGTGACAGAACGAATGTTCCAATCCACGAGGCGAAGCCAAGTGAAATGGAACATTCCTTCTGTCAACGAATGAAATTATTCTTACCATTGCAGTCATTAACATTCTTTATTTGTATAATGTCATCAGAAAGATGTTAATCAAAATTTAGGATTCTTTGAAAGATCCTGAAGTTTCTTTTAGTGGTAATATCTACCTTTCAAATCATTGAACTAAAGCTGGCTTAGGAGGAGTAAATGGACTAATAAGGACTACAAAATAAATGTAGATATTCCGTCTAGTAATAGTTCTTTCAAACAAAATTATACCTTTGGTTCTGGAACCTTGGCCAGTTCTTTCAGTGAGTGGCACAGCTTGAGGTGTTTGAACTGGAAGGGATTGTTCCGTTTGTCCTCAAAGGATCGCATGACTTTGTCACTCATCCATTCAACCTAGAAATAAGACAGAGTTCTGATTACAGGTCCAATATGCAGACCCATATATCTAAACAGGTACATTTTTTTCTAAACAGGTGTTTTACATGTAGAAATAATTCTGGGCAGGGTCTTATCAGGCATACTTAACCCTAACTCCCTAAGCATTTTTGCTAAGATTTTTTGCTAAGATTTTTGTAAAAATTGCATACAGCTTCAATCCTGCAAAATCCTCCGTTATATTTTTAATGTGGTCCTTGGAGGGGTGACCACTGCCTCAGTCCTTCAAAATCCTCCAGCAATCACTGACCATAGTTTGAGGCAGAGCCAGTGACATTCTGGAGCGATTTCAAGTATACTATAGGCCTAAATTCATGCAAACTGAGCATAAACAACACAAGGTCCGGCCCAAGACCTTGACACATTGCATCCTCCAAAATCATGCCACACATTTTTGCCACATAGCCTCAATCCTGCAAAATCCTCCATTTTGCAAAGAGGATTTTGGAGAATTTGGAAAGGTTAGGGTAAAGTTTGCCGATTGCATAAAATTAGAACCCCCATGAGCAGAGTAGAGTTATAACCCATGCATCCCTTTTTATTATTTAGTTCTTATTTCCTACTGACCCTAGTTTGGGCTCCTGACCCAAGGGGAAAAAAAAGACATTTTTATCAACGCCCACCCTGTCTGGAACTAGCACCAGGGGTTAATCTGCAATTCACTATTTGTTATGCTTAAGTTACCAAATTGTCACCTGATGAACTGAAAACAAAAATCACCTACACAATTGACTCCTGACAGCGTTATCTTTGCTCACCTGTGACTTTGCAAACTCCACCACATTGTAGCTGACGTTGTTGATCATGGCTAATGAATATGGAGTTAGACCTGACTCTGTGTTCCGCCATAACTGATCCTGAAATTATAAAAAAAATATTAAAAAAACAGTATTATATCCTTCTCCCTTCCTGGGTGCTGTTGGTGTTACCAGTAATTGATTACTGCTGAACAGAGGTTACTATTTAGGGTCAAAGTTCAGCCCTGCAAACTATAGCAGAAAATGAAATGTTTACATTTAGTGTATTTTGTCCAAAGGCTGGTGAGGATTTTAGGCAAGTGTGTACATGTATGCAGCACTAAAAACTCTATCTCTGAGTAGGTGTGCTATCAAAATATTGCTAGAAATGAGAAATTATGGATGTGGACCACATTGAGGGTAGGGGAAACGAATTACATGTTCTTTGTCGGTGGTTAAATTAGGTTCACAAATGTAACTCACCAATAGGAGTGAGAGTTCAACGACCCGGCCGGCTGTGTCTACTGCAATGAGTACGTTCCCATCTCTCCTCATTGTATTCAAGATAATGGCTGTCAAATATAAGACAAAAATATGCACATGAATATATCATTGCTACATGTAGGCTGTAGCTAGCCAATTTTGGTTGTGCCGTCACTGCACAGTATCAAATCTGAATTAGTACTGTACATACGACGAGCCATACCCGACAGTGAAAAAATAAACTAAAGGTATATGTGAGGTAATCAAACTAAATGAGTCGTTTGTCGACCCTGGTCAAATTTTTTTATTACAGATTTGAAAAGAGCACACTCTCAGCATTACTAATGTGAAAACCGCATGCTGATACCATCGTTAGTTTAAAACTTATGGAAGTCAGAACACCAAGAAATGTGATGAAGTGATGTGATGAAGTGGCCCTATTTTGGCCTGTATCTCAAAATAAAAATACCGGACAAAAGACTCATTTAGCTTGATCACATCACATATAGGATCACTTGTTTTTCATGCATTTTGCTTATTTTCAATAATAACACCACTCAAAATCCAAAGAAGAGTGTTCAAACCCTAACCTGTTGAAGTTTTAGCTCGGTGGATATTACACTTTTCGAGAAAACAGTGGGAAAAAAACATGCACAACGTTTTGATCATGGAACGATAGCACTCTTGATTCCAAAAATCAGTCCATCAGCTAATCGTTGGAAATCACCTACGTTTCAACAAGCCAGACGGAATAATTTCACAGGGTAGTATCAGAGGCCTTAAAGACAAGTCTGCAATATGTTGATTTTGAATTCAATCCCTAACAGATTCTGTGGGTTTCCCATAATATTTCTCTTTAAAACTGAACATTTTGTCAGAGTCTCTCCAAAGGTTTCTTCATGCGTGAAAGCTAGACCTTGCCATAAGAGTTTAAAAACCTTGCACTTATGGTGTGCATAATAAATGCCACCACAGGGTGAATCTGGCAGTCATTAATGGTACTGATTCAGAGGGATTAAGAGGGCCTGGGAAGCTCACCATAGACTTGTTCGGTGTATTTATTTCCTATCGGTTCTGAACATAACAGACTTACTGCTGAGGCAGAAATTAATTGGCAGCGCCAAACAAACCCACAGAGAAGGCACTTTTTGGGAAAGTTGAAGTAAGGGTGCGGTACAGCAGGCGTAAAAGATCATTTGTCATTTTTGTTGTTTGAAGCAACAAAAGTGCTCACAATCTAAAGACGGGATGCTTAACAACTAAACTGATGAAGTTTTTTGCTCTGATGAATGCTGTATATTCTGAGAAAACAATATGCTGGGATCTCGGTTTCAATTAAATTTGCAAAATCGTGTTTTGAATTGCGCTTGAAATCAGTGTTTGGGACACGTTCTTATTCAGCCGATTGCAGCTACACGATGTCATGCACTGAACTGACGAATAATGTCCTAATGTGCCAATGCTTGCGCGCACCTATTAATGGATCACAAACCAACTAACGTAAATTTTCAAAAATGTGTCACCCGACGCATCTTTGGAAATGGCCTTCTTTTATTGTTTTTTTCAAAATGACAGCATGCCAGAAAGAATAATTTCACACGGAGTTTAGTGCCATTACTATCTTAAATACAAGTAAGCTTTTCAGCAATAACTTTGTCAGGTACTTTTTGGATAGTTGCAAATGATCTACTCTACCTAACCCCCTAGCACTTCCTCAGGACTACCCTGCTAAATCCAACAGAGTCCAACCGGACTTTCCTGTTCAATCCACTGTGCCTCATTTTCAGTTGTCTGCTGAATCCAACGGAGTCCAACAATGCGTTATAATGTGGTTCAGTTGCCTGCTGAATCTAACATTTTGCATGAGGAATGTACACAAGGGGTTAACTGCTCAATCCAACAGGCTCCATCGGGTATATGACATAGTTGGATCCTGTTGGATTCAGCAGGGTTAGGGTTGGATTCCTTGCTTACATTACCAGCAAATATTTATAATAACGATTCTGATGATAGACTTACTCATCAGTTGTTCGTCCCTGAGCCTCCTTCTGGCCTGTACATACGTGGCATTGAAGGCATCAGTGATGAGAAGCGATGGTCGGTTCAGTGACTCCAAGACGCATCCGTTGAGGTGTCGCTCCTTCTTGTGGTTGTAGTCAATGGCATAGATGATCTCTTCCTCACCGTCTTTGACTATGCGCCACAGCGTGCCTCCGATCATGTGACCGGCAGGCAGGGGCGTAATTGTCAGGCCATGGCCTTTGCCTGATTTGGGGGGAAACAAAGTGGGAAAAGTGAATTGCAATGTGTAGAAAGAGAAGATGTAGAATGAGACTGAAGTGCCAGGGCCTCTAGTGGTCTGGAGAATCCACCTTGTGGTCAGTGAGTTATTCTGCTGGTTGTGGGTTCGATTCCAGTCTGGGGGTTGTGGTGCATGTGTTCTAGGCACGATACTTTGTCACTAATCGCTACTCCTAACCAACTCCTAACCTACTCCTAACCTAGCGATTGGGCCAGACTCATATGCTGCTGTGGGGGGATCGCCACACCTCCTCCACAGCGAGTCTGTTACCTTCCCAGCATGGAATAATGCCGGTACCCATTTCACACCTTGGTTGAGAGGAGTAATTGAGGTAAAGTGCCTTACTCAAGGGCACAACACGCATGACCACGGTGGGGCTTGAACCCACAACCTCACGATCATGAATCCTGTGTTCAACCAATAGACCACACGTGCCCAGCAAATGGGTACTCCATCCTTGGTACACATAGATGGTTACTTTGAGTGATTGATTGTAGCTTATTTGTGCGGAAATGGCAGCATTAAGCTGTCTACTCCAGAGATGGTCTTTGTAAAATGAACCCAGCGAGTAGAGGTAATAAGGCCAAAATGAAACTGTTGTGTTGCCCTCACACTAAAAATATCAGGAAGGTCGGTTGGTCAAGGATTGTTTTTCTACTGATTTTTTTTTTTTTGATTACTTCTTGTTCTATTCCAAATCCAATAGACTTTGTCCATGCTTCATTTCGCACCCCTCTTTTGACATTCAACAGACTTCAAATGTGATGAAACTTTGCACAGACCCTGTACTGAACTCATGCATTTTACTCTCATGTCACGATGATGTCATCAGGGGTCATGCGAAGTCATCTTCAAGATGCATTTTTCAACGGCCCATATCTAGAGAACTACAAGGCCAATTGGGTTGAAACTTTGTGTGTACATAGTAAGGAATGTGTTACAGATGAAAATTGAAGTGACATTATGATGACATCATCGAGTGAATTTTTATCGATTTTTCATTTTTTTTCATCACATCTGCATAACTCAGGAACAAAAAATGCAACATTCAAAATTGTTGCACAGATAAACGCACGAAGTTTCGAAAAACAAGTTTTGTTTTTTGGGGCCTAATGATGTTGTGCCTTGAGCAATAATTATGTTACGCGTGACTTATGAACACACATTAATATTATAAAAGACTGGTCTTTTAAACCAAGTACCGTAATCTTGATATTCTCTTATGCAGCAGCTCAAAAGATCTCCAGTTCCTTAACCAGTTTGCGCCGGTATTATTTTGGCATTGACCGGATGAAGTTTTTCACAAACCTCGATGCCAGACGGGTTCAGGCCGTCATCTGCCGGTAGAATACCCTGATATTTCCGACCTTGCTCGCTGGCTGGGAGCGGATCGCTGACAGATATTTTTAGCCTCACTTGCTGCGTGTTTATCCGTCAATTGTTCCCAATACCGCAAAACCTTTGCGTGAATACACGTCATCCAACGTGAACTGGTTAAATCTGCCATCAGCTTGATGAGTTATGCATCAGCCACACAGCAATGAACCAGCGACGCTAATAAACGTAATGTGTACCTTTGAGGTTGGTGCTCTGGGAGTACTTCAACTGAATGATCTTGTCAAACGCCGAGTCTACATCGTCCAGTGTGAACAAGTCAAACTCTTCTGAATTGTGCCTCGACTGAAAACGAAACAAAACAGGAGACAGAGTTCCGGTAAAATGTAAGTGCAGTGCACTTACTTGACTTGCAAGATATATTAATATTTGTCTTGGGATGGTTGCCTGTACTTCCTCAATGTATTCTGTATGCATCAATTTAATAAAGAATACATGTATCAACACATTGGTCTTAAATCTTGCACTTTATTAACCCTAACCTTCCCAAATCCTCCAAAATCATCTTTGCAAAATGGAGGATTTTTGCACAATTGAGGCTATACGGCAAAATGTGCTGGCTGATTTTGGAGGATGCAACTGTGTCAAAGTCTGTGACGAACATTGGGTTGTTTATGCTCAGCCGTGCATAAATTTAGGCCAAGATTATACTTGAAATCCTCCGCACTGCTCCAGGATGTCACTGGCTCTGCCTCAACATATTGACAGTGATTGCTGGAGGATTTTGCAGGATTGAGGAAGTGGTCACCCCTCCAATGACCAAATTCAAGAAATAATGGAAGATCTTGCAGGATTGAGGCTGTATGCAATTTTTACATGGAGGCTGTTGGAGGATTTTGCAGGATTGAGGTTGCAACCTAACAAAAATGCCAAGGGAGTAAGGGTAAAAAAAAAACATTAAAAATTTGATTAAAGGATGAATAGTTTTTGATAAAATATATTTCTCGTGATTGGCAATTTCACTAAAAATAATCACGAAAGCTACACTGATCATATTTAACCCATCTCCCCCCCCCCAAAAAAAAATAAAAATAAAAATAAAAAAATACCTCTATAAAATTATCAGTAGCATATTTTTTTTTTTGAGGGGGCGGGGGCAGACTCTGAAATATGAGACTCTTTGTGGCTGGGAACAAGAGTCTTGAGATCGAGCAAGGTACATTCTTCACCTATCACACGAGTGATTTTACTCTTTAGAGTCTCACTCCCTGTGATCACACAAGATTCAAAAGTTTCCCCTCAATAGATACAAATGAAAAGTTGGAGGTGCCACTCAGAAGGACACATACATGTAAGTACATCGGCACCTACATGTATGCCAAGCACTATCTGCCAGGCACAATCTACCGGTACTATGCAAGGATCCTGGGTTGAACAAGTCTTGTGCAAGGCATCCCTAACTGTGTTGCACCAGGTACTTACTTGGTACAGGTCATACATGAACATCTGTCCCATCTTGTAGACAGGGATGGTTGCGTAGATGGGGCACGTCAGGCCGCACTTGCCAACGATGTACGGCAAGGCACCAAGGTGGAGGTGGTCTGGGTAGGTTAGTAACATGGCATCGATCTGATGAACATGCCTGGAGGGAAAAAAAGCAGAGCATAGATAATGCAAGTACATACAGGGAGTGAACCGTCGCAAGTAAATTGCAAGACCAATGTGTCTTACTTTTTTTTTTTTACATATTTGAGGGGAAGAGTTTTCTGTACAGAAGCATGACATTTTTCATAAAAACAAATGGTAATGCTTATAAACTGTAACTCTTATAAATAAAACGAAACCGAGATATTATTGCTAATTGGAACAGAAGTAGGGCACATGTGAATCAAAGGGAGATATTCTCTGTTGGGGTCGAATCTCCTCTTTAAAATGACACCCTGATCATGTTTTAATATTACATTCACGGTTGACTGAGCAGTGACCCATTTTATGAAAGGGTCTATTTAGAGGCTTGCGCCACTTTTCAACTGTGGTTTTTGTGGTGTCATTTGTCACAGAGTGAAAGGCTATGGTTGCCATTCAAGGCAGGTGGGGAAAACAATGATTTCACCACGAAAAGTGGCACAAGCCGCTAAATAGACCCTTGCATAAAATTGGTCACTGCTCAGTCAACCGTGAATGTAAGGACATGATCAGGGTGTCATTTTAAAGAGGAGATTCAACCCTAACAGATGATATCTCCCTTTGATTCACATGTGCCCTACTTCTGTTCCAATTAGCAATAATATCTCGGTTTCATTTTTTTGATCCACCCTGTATAGTACTTTCCATCTCATATCAACAATTTCAAAGCGTTTTACAATTATTCCCCCCGTTCATCAGGCCAAGAGACCACGCTGGGGCAGATATCAGCCAAATTCAGACCTCTACCCTCACAGACACCCATACTCCTGGGTGGAGAGAGGCAATTGTAGTTAAGTGTCTTGCCCAAGGGCACAAACACCATGTTCCCGGTAAGGAAAACCAATTCACAGTCTTCCCATCTGTTAAATTGACATGAATGTACAGGCTACAGAGAAAATGTCATCACAATAATTTCTAATTCTAAACCCTAACCCCTTGGGTATTTTTGCTAGAAAGTATCCTAAATCTGCCAAAATCCATCAATTTTGCCATGCACAAAAATGTTGGTGGCCAGTGAGTCTATCAGAATCCACCAGTTAGCCGGGAGTAAATCTGTTGAGATCCAGAATCCATCAAAGTCCCCCAACTGCTCAATATGGAGGTATCCTGAATCCATCAAATCCTACAGTACCGTTAAGCTTACTGTCCTGAATCCATCAAAATCCCCCAACTTTTTCAATATGGAGGTATCCTGATTCCACCAAAATCCTCCAAAACAGGGGTGTGTATTTTGATGGATGTAGGTACATGTATGTTAGGGTTAAAGAACAACTGAACATTTGAAGAGTATGTTTTCAGTTGTGTAGCACAGGTAACAATAAAAAATAATATACATGTACATTGTAACCTTCATTTCAAAGACCTACTTTTTTAAGTTCTCGATGTAGTCCAAGTTGAAACTCTCGTCCCAGCCACAGTCCAGAAGAAAGCGGAACTCATCCACCTGAAGCATATAGCAGGGCGGAGACTCATCCCCTACCCCCGAGAAGGGGGTCAGCTTTATAATAGATGTCATGCTGGTTGACTGATCTTATTCCTGATGTGACATTATTGCTCCTCTGGAGATAGTATGAATAGACATCAACACCTGTAACAACGGAAATTAAATGGAACAAAAAAAAAGTTTAGAGCAGGTCATTAATTTTCTCGACTGATGTGAGTTGAAAGTGTCTGTGAATTGTATTCTTTTGGGAAAAGTACCTGGATGATTACAATATCATATGTTAATATTGTAGTCATTCGGATTGTAGTCGCCCGGTCAATTTTAACACATTTGGCTGGTTCTCAATCAAGTCAAGGATCCAAGATTTCGTTACAATTTAGTATGTTAAAACAAATTTTCGGACACATACTGTAATGTAATGTACCGGTGAAATATGATATGTGTGTGATTTTAATGCATGTCTGTTTGTTGTTTATTGGAATGTTGGGGTTGTATGTTCGTTTGTTGGTTTTTGGTTTTTTTTTAAATGTTAAAAAGGTGATTTGTAGAGTCCCAATTTATACTCAGACTACATCGGGCATGTCAGGATTGGCAGACCATGTCCCGATGTTAAAAAAAGGCAATTTAGGGTCCAAGTTACTCGGACTATTGCCAGACCATGTCCCAATGTTAAAAAAGCTGACTTGTAGACCTAGGTCCAAGTTACTCGGACTATGGTTTGAAGGGTGTTGTTTTTTTTTTATAGAAAAAGAGTCCGAGAAACATTTGGGTTCCAACTACTTCTGAAATCAGAAGGCTTCCTCCGTCTGCAGACGGAGGAAGCCTTCTGATTTCAGAAGTAGGTTCCAACAGCCAAAGATTGTGACGTTCAACACTATTTCGTCAGGGAACCAGCCAATTAACATGAAATAGTTCTGTTACCATAGGCATAGCGGAAAGCATGTTGCATTCTGGCGCTGCTTTTTTCTTCATATATCATCTAAATGAAGGTCTGTCATTGCAAAAATGAATCTGGGACTGAGAGACAGTTTCCAATTTTGTTGTAGGCCTATAAATAATACACAACCGCCGATCGAAGTAGCGTGTTGTCAGGTTGCAACATGAACACTCTTTCCTAGCAGTAGCATAGATTTGTTTTACCCTGGCCTCGCCTCATCAAATTAAAGCCCGGATGCCCAACATGTACGTAAATGAGATATCCCTAACGTCACGTCAGCAAAATTCAGACAAGACAGCTAGAACTTAGAAGACAATAATCATTAAAATTAGACAGGAAAGCTGCGTGCCCGAGTACTTACGTTTAAACTAGCTTTGTAGTTATTTGTACTGTTTGTGCATGTGACGCACATGTCGCATGATAGGTCGCGAACCAGACTAATTACATACAATATCGCAATCATGTTTACGTCTAGTACCTATAGCCGGTTCAATTCGCGGTAAATTTGCGAATTGCGGATCAAACGAATGTCAGACAAGTCGACCGTTGAGACAACTCGACTCGGGACAAGTCGGCTGTTGAGACAACTCGACTCGGGACAACTCGACCGTTGAGACAGCTAACGTGCACGGCACGTGCACGGTACGGCCACGCGGTTGACCGGAGATGCGCGCACAGGCCCGGCAAATTCGAACGATGTGCAAGGACAATCACGCTGCGCTATATCGGCTCTGCTCTATTATGTGTCATAACTCCCAAACGGCGATCAGCCGCCGTCAAAATCCCCGGTACTTTCCCCTAAACTAGGCCCAAAAACATGCGAGGCGACTTGTCTCAACGGTCGACTTGTCTTTCCATTTATCGCACATACGGTCGAGTTGTCTCAACGGTCGAGTTGTCTCAACGGGTGACTTGTCCCGAGTCGAGTTGTCTCAACGGTCGTCTTGTCTGACCCCCGATCAAACACGGAGTTGCTGGGGTGCACATGACATGAATGAATGTGTAGATTTTGTCCCAAAAAATGGCTTTAAAGATTGTGTTGAATGTCAATAATTGTGTAATTTGTACGAATCCCGTCGTTTTTGGAGTCACATTGCGCGATCGCGTTTACAGACATGACAGACAAAATCGTACCAGTAAACGGGACGACGACACGGTCGCGCAAATATTGATGGACTTATTTGAATTGGAAGCCAACGATATCACATGTATCATGGACCAGTTTGTTTGCAGCGAATGCAACATACTTTTGTTTTATGTACATCAGTTAGTACCAGTCTGGAAGGAGTTTTCCAGTTTACGAAAGCGGCTGAACAAAAACGGTGAGCAATTAAGATAAACTTGGTAAAATAAATGCAATTGGATTAGGAGGAGTGATGAGCATGTCAGCAGTCAGCTGGAGTTACTCAAGCCCGCCTAGGCCAGGGCTAGGGCTAGGTCAAAGTTAGGGCTTAGGCCTACTTGGACTAATGCGCCAAAGGCCCCCCCCCCCTCCCCCCCCCCCCCCCCCCCCCACCCACCACCCACATAGACAACGATGAAAAAAATCCCCCAGACAAATTAAGGCTCTGTATTTATGTTACGCGCTCTCCCGGCCGGCTGTTGTATTACTAGTATTACAAAACACTGCATTCGAATTGGCCAATCACAGTTTTACTTAATCCTGATTTGGGGATGAAATGACGTCACAATTTGGCTGAGGCACGAGCAAGATTGCATAAATCTGCTTGCTTTGTCATGTCAGACGTTATACAGGGGACTTGGCTCTATACTTAGAATACACCGGCCCGCTCCAGGAAGCCCCAACATTTGCTCAATATGCATGCAACATGACATAAATGTAGTATACATGTATGTCGGGTGTGATCAGTTGATGTGTCAATTAAGTGTAAGTGTAAGTGTAAGTCGATCATGACCTTTTCTTTCTACTTTGCGGCTCTAATGGAGAAATTTTTGTGTGAAAAGGTAAGTAAAGTCAGACATATCTTACAGAGTCGACCTACTTCTTGATTTAGAAGGCACCTCTCATTAGCTAATGAGAGGTGCCTTCTTATTCTAGAAGTAGAGTCGACCCATCACACAACGCGTTTGACAGGTCAACCGATCGGGCCCAGCATATATACACTGTCAATTTCAGTACTGATTATTTTTAAAGCATTGAAATTTGTGTGTTATGTTTATTTCTCTTCATAGGATACATAGGAGTGCTGAGAAATAAACGCAAGTGGTTGGATTTTTTCGAGAGTAGCAAAGAAACACAGACGCCTGAATGGACGCCGTGCAAGGGTAATTACAAGTCTCCAAGATTTGCAGGTCTGATAAGGATATCTGCTTAATTCTTGAGGTTTCACCTGTAAAGGCCACAACTTCAGGAATTCAATCGATTAATTGTTCCCTTTATCAATATATGCAGGATGAGAAAAGAGCCACGATTTTGCTACATGCAATGTTTGAGATTTTTGCTTTAGAGCAGGCTTGGCCATTGTTTTACACCTTCTGAAAGGAAGCCTGTATTTTCAAAAGTTAATTAATCAAACAAAAGATGTAACCGACTAATCAACGCTTTGATTGATTAGCCCATACCTTCCCACAAGCTGTCCAGAGACAAGGCATAAATGTGGCTGCTGCGGCAAAGACTGCTGTGCTATTCCAGCATTGGCCTCAACAGCCACAGGCGACACTGCTACAGCTCAATCTGCAGAGGTCAACGACAACGAACCTTCCCAAATCTTCCTAAATCCTCTTTGAAAAATGGAGGATTTTGCAGGATTGAGGCTATAAAAAGCTATTTTGTGCCTTCCCCAAATTCTGTAATTTTTCCTGTAGTGGTGAAGTCCAAATCATTCTTTTTTTCCCCTTACTAACAGCTTGCCATAATGTAATGACGGAAGATGAAGGAGGTTGCCATAATGCGACGTCGAAAGTCAAGGCATCAACAAGTGAAGTCAGAGTAGTGACGGAACACGTGACATCCAAACGGAACCATGTCCAAAAAGCAGAGAGGAAGGCATCAAAGAGGACAAAACTTAACGAACATCACAAGCAAAGCGAGCAAAGCACAATTACGGACCTGACACACAGGGCCACACAAACACCTGTATGGAACAACGTGGCTGCACAAAAAGATGTTGAAATCAAAATGCCAAAAGCAGGTGGGATCTTCTCTTGACTCGTGAAGGTTCTGTCAAAATTGCGTCTAGATCACACACTGATTTTGTTCAGCTCATCCTACTTGCTGACGTGTACAGTTTTCGAACGCCAGATTTCAAGTCCTGCTTTAAAGAACTAGTCTTTGGTCTCAACGTTTCGACTTGCCTGCTCTAGTCTCCTCAGTCTCCTGACGATGACTAGAGCTGGCTAGTCAAAACGTTGAGACCAAAGACAAGTTCTTTAGGGACTTAAAGCAGGACTGTTCTTATCAGAACTAAAACTACTTAGCGATAGTTGATGATAAGCAGGACAAGTTCTTATCAGAACTAAATGTCTACTGAGCGACAGTAGTTATTACCACATGTTTCCGCAAACTAAAATGATACTGATCTCCACGATGCAAAGTCTAAAATCTTAGATAATGGATGTGATATTAAATATTTGTTTTACAGCAAATATTCATCGTTTCTGAGGTGCGGTGTTTTTTTCTCTCCTCTCTCCCCCTCTTCTTTTTTAGCCACAAAGAAGAAGCCATTTATCAAACATTCAACTAGCAAAGCACCACAAGGGGTCAAACTTACTTTAAAGCGAGTGTCAAGGAAAAGAACTAAAGGGACAGTAGGAGATGAAGCGACCCTCGTAGGTTGGCAGCACTGCTACAGTAAAGGTACCTATTAGGCCATCAGCCTGGGGGTTTGGTCAGTATCAAATTAGGGCATCAATGATTATAGTGCGCATGCGCAAGGTATGAGCTCCGTGCGCCAACGAAAGAGGGCGCCCTTTTACCTAGCAACGACGTCCCATGGGCGGGACATTTAGCTGATTGACGCGCACCGTTCCTTGTGTGTGACGCACGTACACCAGGGGATTTGTACTATGTCCACGCAAAATTGCAGTCCGGCAAGATAGCGTCGGTTGGGCACCCCCAACTGTGCTTTCTTTGCCGGTGAGGGGGTACTTGTGAACGGAGCGGATACTGCCCCTAGAGTGGTAACAAGCATTTTGATGGACATTTTGAAAAAAAGGGTGATAACACCCAAAAAGCTGCCACCGCTGCAATGCTATCACATATTTTCCAACTCTGGAGGTGTATACCTTGCCAAAAATCGCTATGACGATTATTTCCACATTTGATACCGGTGGCCAAAATTTCCAAGTCATGTTTGTGCACTGTCATGTCAGAACCAGACTGAGACCTAGTCTTTGCGATAGACCATGGTCTAATATGTGTCAACAGATTGGGTGATTATAATTATGCAACTAGACTGCGTATGACCTCGAGACTCTGACCAATCAGCAGGTGCCGTATGCGCGTAATTCAAGCTCCCTGCGTGCGTAAACATCACGCCAACAAAGAGTAGCATTTTTGTACAGAATGTTGTATTACAAAACTGAAGCATCAAAATTGACCAATCACAATCTAAGTCCCTGATTTCAGAATGAAATGACATCACGCATGCTTGGACATTATACAGGAAACTGGGCTCCGTGGGTAATGGGTGATACCCAGACTAACCAGCTCAGAAACGTGTAAAAGTAAATCAGGCCAACTTCACTCACTCTTTAGCCAGCAAATTTCTCCAAAATTTCCAATGGGCAAAGAAAAGGTCCTCAGTATTTCACCAACCAAGTTGCAGACTCAAGACATTTCTTCAATGGTTTGCACATGAAAGGGAAGTCAAGTGATTACAAAATGAGCCTTAAGATCACTGGTACATGTCCAACCATGGTCCAACTATTTGAAAAGACTGACTTCTTCAATCAGTGTTCTAGTCTGGTGGCTGATTATGGAGAAATGTGTAGTAAATAGAGACTAGTTCCCGATTCATGCCACATGGCACAGTTGATTGATTCAGTACCGAAGCATTGTTTGACTTAATCTGTCATTTATGCCTGCCAATAATTTATACATTGCTAGATATGTAAACATATCCTCTGGCAGTAACTGAAGAGACACGTGCAACCGCACAGTACCCTATTTTTAATTGTCAGAATCTTCTTGACTCCTATTTTGTTTGTTTTTGTCGAAAGTTCGGATGCCTAAACGCCACAATGTAGCATGTGATACAGATGATCTACCGGTACAAGTTGAGGAAGTGCAGTGTCCTACGGATAAGAATCAGGTGGGGAAGAAGGCTAGTTAATGTATGCTTAATTTTAAATATTTTTTAATTGTTATGCCCCGCCCGAGAAGCCAAAGGGTCATACTGTTTGCTTGTCCATCTGTGTGTACATGTGTGATCTGATACACCGTGCCCTCTGGAGACGTGCACACAGTAGGGAACAAAAGATTGCATACGTCTCCACAGGGCAATTTCTGAGTACGTCTCCACAAGGTTTTCACGAAGTAGATATATGGATTTTACTCAAAAACTAGGAATTTCCAAGGTGGGTTGATCGGTCGCAAATGGAAGAGTTTCAGAAAAGGGATATTAAGTCCGAATTTCAGCCAAGGAAATTAATTCTGGTTAAAATAAGAGCATTTTGAAACTTCACTTTCAAACTCGAAAACTTTACTACACAAGAACAAAGAAATGTCTCCACAAGGATACAAATTTCAGTATGTGTGGTTTACGATTGAGGACAGATACACAAAGGGAGAACAAAAGATCCCTTCAGTCCTCGAGCGTTGCGTCTTTTGTTGAAAACAATCCTCGATCGTACAGTTATGTGCTTGGCCTATGGGGGAGTGTTAAATTACAGGGACAAAGGGAAACACAAAGCATTGTCCTCGGGCGTGTAGATATTCACGACTGTGTGTGGGGGTGTCTGTCAGTTTGTTTCTGCATTCAATGGAGTACCGAAGTGAATACGTCACGCGCACAAAATGTGTGTGAAAGACATTAGCGCGTGATTCTGCCTGTGAACCAGCACGCGTGCGTACTCCATTCGTTTGCACTATTCTTTCTGGTTCTAAATGACGTCACACTTCGGTACTCCATAGGGGACATTGAACAATAGAAGACAATAGGGTCCACAATTCTCAAAGATCCACAACCGACGATCGTGTACAAAAACATATGGGCATCTTCCTGAAAACTTCAAACAAAAGAGTGACAATGGGGTCAACGATCGAAGGTGTTTACACACTAGAGTGCCCCGCCACCGTGACTGTTTTGAAAACGGTCATGGTTGAGGGGAAAATGTGTTAATTTAGCACAACTTTTCGTGTTGGCTGTTTCGGCAACCGGCCGAAACAGCCTTTGTTTTTGTTAAGATTTATATTTGAGAATGAAATCACGTAGTATATGCCACCATTTTTTATAAACAGAACTACACTTGAAACTTCACATGTCACATGTCACAAAAAGTTACCGAAACAGCCCTGTGTTTGTCCTCAAACATAAATCAATTTTATTTGTGAAATTTACTTGAACTTGTTTTTTTTTTTTTTTTTTTTACTTTTGAGCTTGCCATCTGACAGTTAAAGGGAATATACATCATTTGCTTTTGCTGTAATTTTCAGAAATGGATGGAATTGGGGGGTTGGAAATATATAGCAAATATAGTTACACTGACTTTTTTGAGGTTTTGGGTTCGAAAATGCTATAAAAACCAAGAAAAACGTCCATTTTCCTGTAGTCTGGTTCCCCGACTCCATGAGCAGTTTACATACATTGGGGAATTGTAAGGTCAGGGAACCAGTCTAGCTGGCTCGTACCCGTTCATAGGTTTGTAATCGATTGCAAACAAGTGGGATGGGCAATTGGGGCCAGTATTTGAAAAAAAGCCAGTTGTTTCCAACGCTGATCGGCCGATCAGCGTTGGAAATTGATACAAAAATACCACTTTTCTTGAAAATGACAGTATACCAGGTGCCATGATTTTACAGGATGCTTAACACTGTCATTCACTAACAGTCCAGCAAGGTATTTCAAAATGATTTGGTAGTTTTATTTTTTGATGTTTGCAAATGTTGTATTTTCCCTTTAATCTTGTTGTTTTTCCACACAGAGATTTAAAGATATAGTCTTTGATCAAATCCAAAGAGGTTGTTATGGGGCAGCAGTTGATCACGCCATGGACTGTAACCCGTGTGCAACGAAACAAATAATAGCAGTCATCGCAAGAAGGGCAGGCATGCAAATGAAACGGTTCTTACAACAAGAGTCCATGCAGACATCGGAGGTGACCCGCGACGACGTGATGAATTTCAAGTGGCAAGACGCCATGAAGGAATTCAAGACGCACTTGCCGATTCTGTACACCATTCTTTCATGCTGTGTGGCCTCACCTGGGGATGTTACTAAATTAAGAATGTAAGTTCCCTAGCACTACAGGGTGAACCTTAAAATATGCAACCCTAAAACATTTGCCTTTTTTTTTAAAAAGGATTTGTGGATTTTTTTGTTTTGGGTATCAGATTAAAGCTAAGGTCTTTTCCTTTCAAATACTGAAAAACTTCTTAGAATAGCACTTTGGATTGCTGAGAAAATGCCAATTATGTAAAAGTAGTCATTTTTTTTATCCGGTACACCCTGTATAATGTCATGTCAAAAAGCAGTTTTCAGCAAGTTTTTGGTTTAATTTATTGAGGTTAAAAAGACAATTAAGTTTACTCAACATTTGTTTTTACAGCACAAGCAAGCGAGTGGGAAAGCTCGTTCCAGGCTTAGGTCTGGTTCTGTCGATGGTAACTACGATGAGAAACCAGTTCAAGTTCAAGATAATACCCATGCTGATTGGAATGTACTTGCATACGCACGGCTTGTCCAAAAACGTAAGTGTCTGACATTTCCATTTTGTTTTGATTATTCAACACAAACAATCATAACCATTGAGAGTGTAACCGTGTGATTTTCCACGATAGATATTGAAATACTTGGGTCAACAATACTTGACATATCACAATTTTTTCCCTTGAATGCTGTTTGGAAAACAGAATTACAATGCATAAGAGTCATCCAATGCCAAATTTCCTGAATTTTGGAAAATTCATCAGGTGACCAACTCAGAGTCTTATGAAAGCTTTTAGAAAATACTTTTAATAGCCTCGTCATAACCTTTTGTAAAAAAAAATAATGATAATAATACAAATATGCGTCTTGTATAGCGCTCATGTTCGTAACGAAGTGACGCTCTTGGCGCTCTTATCATTACCCTGGCTTTAGCACGGCTGCCATTACGGCGCACAAGCATTGAAGGAATTTCTTCCAACCAGGTACCCATTTACTACACCTGGGTGGAGAGAGGTAATCGTAGTAAAGTGCGTTGCTCAAGCGCACAAGCACCATGTTCCCCGTCAGGATTCGAACCCATGTACCACGGCACACGAGTCGAACACCGTAACCACTAGACCACAGCAACCCAGGAAATGAAGTTAATCGCATTTACTGGTTGTCTTATGTGAACCTTTTCACTGCGGTACGTGCGGTACGTGATTAACGTTTTTGTCCACGTTTTTGCATAAGAGAAGAAATGGTACAATAAAGACGTTATAGACAACACAGATTTAAACCCGACTGAACCTTAGCTCAAGCTGACTTTTTCTGTTTCACTTCTTTATGTTTTATGCAAAGTAATAATAATAATAATTAATAATAATTTGGGAGGCTAATCATCCTTACTCGCAGCTGGTATGCTGAATTGCGAAGGATGCGGCTACAACGTGGTCGGGCCGCTGGCACGTAAAGGCGCCTATGGCTGCCGGCCACATCGACCCATATATGACCACAGAGCACAGCCTGAGATCGAAAGTGTTTGATTTTTCCGGAGGGAGGAAAACCGGAGGGCCCGGAGATAAACCCTCGTGGCACAGGAGAAAACCAACGCACAACTCTACTCACATGTGATCCGCGGCCAGGATTCGAACCGTGGTCACCTTGGTGAGAGGCGAGTGCTTTACGCACAAGCCACCCATGCCACCAGTATCTCTGGGCTATACTATAGTTACGGTGTCCTTCATTGTTCACACAATTGCAGCCCTGCCCTCTACTTGGCAACCCTGCAAGGCAATGCATGTCTCAGTTCCAGACCTCATGGAAAGAACGGCTCTGGGGGACACATTTTGTGCTCTTATGCAATTTTCAGACGCCTCGTGGACAAAAACCTAAACTGGGTACCGCATTATAAAGGTTCGCGAAAGACAAATTCGATTAACTTCATTTTTTCACACAAGGCTACTAACGAATATGCCATTCTTACACTGTTCAGAAAGGTAAAAACCTCAACTTGGTTTAGAAAAAAAGTTGGCTCCTTTGCATTATCGCACTTTTGTTTTTACTTGCTTGATGTAAATAATAAGTGGTCTTTTTTGTTATTGCGTACCGTGGCAAACTGTGACCACATCTTCATATTTCTGCTTATTCAAAGCACTCGGTCAACACAGTCGTGATGTTAGCCAGAATTCCAACCTTTTGCTTCAGAAAAAAAATGGTTGTATCATTCTATTTGGAATGTGTGGGTTAATAAAGGATGGGAGGTATGAGCTGAAGCACATCTTTTACTTTTTAGATGAGTTGCGGACTAAACCAAACTTTGTTGTCCAGGGGTCCTGTACTCGACAAGCTCTGCTTCCTATGGGTCCCATCCACTTCACTCTACTTGTTTGTATAGCATTTGTATTTCTGTGTTTGTTAATGCTGTATTTTTTGCTCTCTGCCTGTGAATGAAGTGGAAATAAATGTAATGAAATGAAATGAAAAAAACTTATTTCATGTTGAAATTTAACTTCAGAATTTCTTTTCAATTTCCAGGCTTTGGAGTCCTGTGCTTCAGTTGGACTGTGTCCCACAATCAAGACCGTGGCACCATGTCTCAAGGAGGTCTTGAGTGAACAGCAGTATCCACCAAACATTATGTGTATGCACACGGGTGCTTGTAAAGATTACATGTACAGGGGAGCCGCTCTCCTATAATCTTTTTTTTTTCAGGCTGATCGCTAATCGCCCTGTCAGCAAAGTCGTTTCTGTTGGCAAACTATTGGATACAGTTTCCAACAGAATGATACAAACGAGAACAGGGCCCCAAATAGTCAAATGATGATGTCAAGCTCCTCATCCTACGTTTGATTTTGTTGCGGCAATGAGACCAGGGGGAAATTGGTCTGGTGACACCCCTGTGCATGCAACACCAGAAGGCCAAGGAAACAGCTTAATTGTGGGGAAAAAATGGTTTTGACCTATGGACTACCTGCACACGTTACCTCTCAACCGTAAACTTTACTGAGAGCACTGTGTAACACACATTCGTGTGTCTTTGTTCCAAGGGCTTGTTCTAGGTTTGTGCTCATCAGGCCTGAGTCACAAATCATCACAAGTAATCACAAGTCATCACAAGTCATCACAAGTTCATCACAAGTCATCACAAGTCATCCAGTCTTAAGTCAAGTCGCAAGCTCTTCAAATGAACAGCGCAGCAAACACATTCCTTTGGCAGTGTCCCTACCCTGTTACCATCTGCCTCGGTGAAAATAATGTGAAAATATCCATAAAGACTCTGCGTGAATATTGGTCAATTGCTGATCTGGAGGTTGTTACAACATGTAACCTCTAGCTCTGTAGAACATGAACTTGTATTAGGTCAAGTTAAGCATTTAATTTGTCACAATCTTTCAGAAACAATTCCATCAAATGGATTATAAATGACTCCGGCATGGGATCAACCAAGCCTACTGCCATACCCTGCATACTCTGAAACTCAGGTCCTGATGAAACGGACCTACTTTCCCAAAACACTTTCATGAAGGCTGTCCCCCATACCTTCCATCTTGGGTGCATCCACAAAGTTGTGATGTCCAACTTCTTTAAGGTTAGATAAGTGCATGTTACCAAAACCTTTTGTCATCTAGCATCTGGAAGAAACGGTAAACGATAGTTCTCAAGATTGCACCTCCTTAATGTTTCACCTGTATTGGCTAAAAGCAAAGAGCGGGAATGGTCAGGATCTCATTGGGACCATCTTGGAACACATATTTTGTCGAGTTTCAAACTTTCAAATGCATGGGAGCTTCGAAAACTTATAACCGCTATTATGACAGATTTCAGGCATTCGGGATTTCGCTGTTTTACTCTGTGAAGCTTATGATTTTGTAATGTCGACTTAAACTTTCTTATTTTGTGAAAAAAAAGATTCATGTATTACTTCAATAAAGAGGTTTATATGAGTTTGTCAAAAATCTTTTGTTTCTTCTCGGTGTTTCTTCTAGGTGTTTTGGATGCTTCTTAGTGACTCCCGGTTTTTATTTGTAAAAGTAAAATAAGTTTTAGTTGGATGATATTGGGGACAGTTAAAGGTCACATACATAAATATTACGTTAAAAGAGTATTCAAGAGTTATAAATGGTTCTGATTGGTGAATTGTAGGATAGGTCACTGAATTTGTCTGTCTTGGCCATTTCCTTGAATACGATTGTTGCAAAAAATACACTGATACACTGCAGGCATTTGTAAAATATAATGCTAATGATTTAGTTGCAGTACAGAAAACAAACAGTTTGAAGCCGCTTTTTGCATACATTTTTTATTACAAATGTTGCCGCAGTGTATTTACTGCAAACTTAAATGCAAAACTACCAAGCCCCCTTTTTTTCAGTCTAAAGCCGCGAGACTCCAGACCTACGTCGTTACTAGTCTCCATAAGTCATAATTATTTCAATTCAGGGATCTTACTTAATGCTGTCCTCCCTCTGATTGAGGAATCTTTTGAGCTAGCAGCCATTTTACCATGGAATTCCATGCAGTAGTGTCTGTCGTAGGTTAGTCTGCATGCTTTGGAGATGTGTAGGTATTCCGAGATCCAGGCAGCTTTGTTTGATGTCCAACCAACGCTTGGGGGCCTGCCCCTGGGTCTCTGACCAGCGACGACTTCAAGTAGGGCAACTTTGGGGTATGTGTTTGGCATACGGATCACATGACCGAAGTAGGACTACTGCTTTGCTCTGATATTACTGACGATCGTAGGTTGACATTTTGTGGCCTCTCTTATTAAAGTGTTCTGATTTGTCTCTTCTTGGTATGCCCAGGATATGTCTGAGGCAGGACATCTCGAACACTATAAGGAGTCAGATTTGCTCATCTCGTTCCTTCAATGTCCATGATTCAGAGCCGTACGTAGCAGTTGACAGGATGAGTACTGTGTACAACTCAGTCTGAGTGTCACAGCTTATATCTTTAGATTTCCAGATTGAAGACAGTTTTTGCATGTTGCCCATAGCTAGACCTATTCTCTTTTTGATGTCCTCACTGCTGGTATAGATTTGTCGGTAATAACACCGCCTAGGTACCGGTGAATATTGGTACTTGCTTTAAAGACATGTCATCGATAAGAATTGAAATAATGTGTGCACTGGCTTTTGTGATAATTTTTGCGTCTCTGTTTTACTCTGGTTATAATGGTGAGACCGAATATCTTGCTTGATGTTTGAACCTTGGACACCAGCAGTTGGAGATCTTCTTTAGATTCGGCAAGTAGGACAAAGTCATCAGCGAAACGTAGGTTGTTGATTGTTTGGCCTTGGACTGTGACATACGGTGGCCCACAACTGTCACAGCAAGAACAAATTGGCCACGGCAAGAGCAAATTGGCCACGGCAAGAGCAAAAGGGCCACGGCAAGAGCAAAAGGGCCACGGCAAGAGCAACTTCGCCGCGGCAAGAGCAACTTCGCCGCGGCAAGAGCAACTTCGCCGCGGCAAGAGCAACTTCGCCGCGGCAAGAGCAACTTCGCCGCGGCAAGAGCAACTTCGCCGCGGCAAGAGCAACTTCGCCGCGGCAAGAGCAAAGTCGCCACGGCAAGAGCAAAGTCGCCACGGCAAGAGCAAATTCGCAAAAGCGAAATAATAAGGGTGCAACCCTGCAAAACAAATCCCATACTAGACACTAGTGCCAAATGCGCATACTTCAAAATTCTTTTAAAAATACTCAGAAATCTCACAGGTATTCAAGCTACGCAGAAAAATGATGATTAATGTGTCATCTTTCATCATTCTTTTCATTTTTTGGTGGGTTGACCGTTGACTTTTCGAGATATTCTCACCCAGAGCAGACGACCCCTATTTTCCCCAAAGCGGAAGTAGCCATCTTGAAAAACGATCCCGTCCACTACAAAGAAAATAGCGCCACTTTCGAGCCCAATAGCATCCAAAATGCTCAGAATTGGAAGCCCCAAGTCCAGGCCAGAGGTTCATTACCATGTCTCTTCAATTTCCCAATTTTATGGCTCTCAAAACTCTAATATAGAATATTTTGACTTGGTATAAATCAAATCTTTAAGTGAACTAGAAACAAAAACCACATGTACACAAACCAGTCCCTGCGTCGCATAAACACCGGATGAGTTTTTTTGAACTCCCGCTCTCCGGTTAATCTAATGGGCCCGCTGGCGAGGTATGTGTTGACAAGCTCTAACCCACCCATCACCGCAACCCAGCAGTGGAACTGATTTTACTCCCTATAGGCCTATGCGTATTAAATTTCAATAAAAGGGGGAAAAACCTCAACAAATACGCTCTAGGCAGTTTAGTCATATACTTACACAGGTATCCATACGGTGCTTCTAAGTCTTGAATAAACGGGAATCTTCCCTAGCTGGTTGCAAATACAATGTTTTCAAAAAGATTCATCAGCTCGCAGAGCCCCTCGTCCTCCAATTTGATTTACATCCCATAAAAAGAAAAGAATGAGGAACGGCCCGGTTGATGCTGATAGCAAATCCCATCTTCCTCCCCTTTTTAAACCCTAATTCACGGCGGCAACTTTCTTGGAATGACTTTGGAATTTTCCAACAAGTTACTAGTATCAACAGATTGTTCCCTGAATTTTGCTCGCACAAAACCGGTTCTTCCTTGCTATTTTCTTAGCCAGAAAACCACTTCTTTTTAAGAAAACACAAGTCTGAGAAAAACTTAAATGCATTGTGGCGGCCAAACTCCATTCCATTTAACTTAAAATGTAGTGGCGACATGTATGATTACGCCCCTTCCTATTAAACACAAACCATAGACTGGCCCCCAGTCATTTGCTTTTCAAACCGTGGCGAATTTGCTCTTGCCGTGGCGAATTTGCTCTTGCCGTGGCGAATTTGCTCTTGCCGTTGCGAATTTGCTCTTGCCATGACAGTTGTGGGCCACCGTAGTGACACCTATATTCAGCCAAGGTGATGAGCTCGTGCAGCATATTGAAGAGCTAAGGTGATAGGATGCAACCCTGTCTGACGCCTGTGATGAGGGTTTTAAACCAGTCCGTCAAGTCGTTGTTAACTCTCACAGCGCTGTTGGAGATGTACAAGGCCCGGAGTAGTCTCACAATCTTGCCGGGGTATCCCAGGTCTCGCATAGTAGCCCAGAGTCCATGTTGTCGCACTGTGTCGAAGGCTTTTTGGTAGTCGATGTAACAGATGGAGGTACAAGGGATTTCCTATTTCGGTTTATTTTGCTATTGTTTGTCTCTGAGTGAACAAACTGGTCTATCGTGCTTCGACCCGGTCTGAATCCTGCTTGTGATTCAGATAAAATTTCTTCTGTTCTTTGCTTTGTTCGATTGTGCAAAATGGAGCAGAAGACCTTCCCTGCAAAATTGAGTAGACTTGTACCCATAGTTGGCACAGTTCAGTTTGTCTTTTTTTTCTTGTATTTCTTGTATATGAGAACAATGATGGCCTTTCCCCAATCCTGTGGGAAGGTTTCTGATTTCCAAATCTTGTTGCACAAAAGGTGAAGTAGCGTTTAATTCTTCGGCGGAGATTCCGTCGTCTCCTGCTGCCTTCCCTTCCTTCAGGCGTTTCAGAGCTAGCTACACTTCATCTCTCATTATGTCCAGATCTGACTCTTCTAGTTGAGTAGTAGGTATGTCTTAAATACGCTAGTGTCTGATGGGCCTGGCATGTATATGTCCGAGTAACTTTTTCCATCTATCTTTGATTTTTTTCATCTTCTGTCAAATGCACCTATTTTTGTTCTTAATGCATTTCATCCGGAGGGTTTGTTTTACGGATGATGTTTTGATAATCTGGTACACTTGCCTAGTCTTGGAGGCATGATGGCAGTCATCAACTTCCTTACATAAATTACCGATCCACTGCTATTAGCTTTCTTTAGATCTCATTTTAATTTCTCTATTCAGGTAATAACCTTTCTAAGAGTTATCTGTGGCTTTTTGTTGTTTAACTACTCTTCTCTCTTCACATAGCTGGAGGATATCCTTCGACAGGGTTTCTGTGGCAGGGCCCAGTACTTCTTGGGATGTTTCTGTGAAGTTGCTTTTTGTTTTGTCCCATAAATTATCTACTACAAGATGAGTGTTTTGAAGATCTATAGGAGGGGTCCAAATTTTCCACCGATTTTGATCTCATAAGCCCTTCTTACTAAGGTGTCTTTAAGCTTTGCAATTTCAAATTTCTTCTGTCGTTCTGTCTTGGATTTTACTTTCAACCTGACTTTGAAGTTATTAGCAAGTACTAGTTGATGATCAGAGCCAACATCCCCACTAGGAAAGCTCCTTGACATCTGTACACTGCTCTTCTATCTTTGGTTGACAAGGATGTAGTCTATTCTGTTGGTCGTGTGGCCGTCTGGGGACTCCCACGTCCATTCCCTGCTTGTTTTCTTTTGTTGGAATATAGTGTTTGTGATGCACAGGTTAATTAGCGAACAAAAATGTTGTAACCTCTCACCTTTGTCATTGATATTCCATATCCAAATTTTAGGATAAAACCATTTCATGATTTCCAATCTCTGCCAACCTTTGCGTTGAAATCTCCAATGATTATCAGAATGTCTTGCGAGGAAATTGGGTTGCTTGCTGAAGCAGGTCGTAGATTTTGTCAGCTTCATCTTCTGTAGGCCCTACTGGGTGAGGTTGGAGCGTAAATTTGTATTGTTGTTGCTGCTCCAATTTGAGTGTGTTGTCTCATTGAAATAATTCTTTCAGAGATTGGTTTATAGCCGATTACGGGCTCTCTGCGCTTGCTTGTATAAAATGAAAGCGACGCCTTCTCTTTGCATGCTATGGGTAGTGTCGTTTCCTGCACATAGTAGGCCTATTTGGAATCCGTCTTCTTCTTTTTAAAATTATCCCGTAACAGTCCAATGGGTTTCAGACAGACCTATCACTTCTCAATTAAACTGGTTGAGTTCATGGATGAGATGTTGGTATCTAAGCTTCCTTATGTAAGGTCCTTAC